GGTTTTCAAATTTGTTGGAGTATAGTTTTTCATAATATTCTGTTATAATCCTTTTTATTTCAGTTGGGTCAACAGGTTCTCTTAAAGTATAAATGTGTCCTTGTTGAATTTTGGAGTTTCTGGGTGTGCAAATGGTTAAGTGCTTGACTACGAACAGAAAGGTTGGCTTTGTGAACCTACCCAGAGGCACCTCAGAAGAAAGGCCTGGAGAGCTGCTTCCTAAAAGTTACAGCCTTGAAAACCCTATGGAGTGAAGTTCTACTCTGACATACATGGGGTTGTCATGAGTTGGCATGAACTCCATGGCAAGTGGTTTGAGTTTTTTTGTTGTTGTTGCTGAATTTTACCAAGCCCACAACCGAAAGACTCCTAGAGATATCGGAAGTTCTTTATTTAATATGAAAAGGCTTTATACTTTCCCTTAAACAAAGAAGTCAACCCACTGGCCAAGAACCAGAACTTGAGGCACCACTGGAAAAGAGAAAAAAACGAAGGAGGCCAAGTACTTCCACATTTGCTCCTGGGGAAGAATATGCCCACCTCCCAGAGTTCTAATCAGGGGCAGTTCTGGACCCTGATTAATGAGTCCTTCAATGCTGCTGGTCTTGCTGCCCCCAGTGCTGCTCTAGAGTTTCCATTTTCACTCCAAATCTGGAAGTGCCCCCTCAGTGAAGAAAGCCCTGAGATTACGTGGAGGGAATAAAAGAGAAATGCAGATGTTAGTGCTATCTGAGACCAGCAGGAAATGTGAACTGCGTCAACTGAAATGGTCCAAATACCTACTGAAATACAAGCTAAAGTTCAGAACAGGAATACCACATCATGAATGTGATTTTTTTTTTTAAGGAGGGGACAGCTTTTGAGTTAAAAGTTTATGAGTCAATGTGGTATTTTATGATGTCTTTTTCTGGAATAGAGCTTCTCTGAGTCACAGTTGCAGTTAGGCTTTTGATTTAGCCTCCTGAAGAGGACTTCCTCTGCTATTTAGCTTGCTAAATTGGGATTGCTTATCTGTAGTCTGTGATTTATTTAAGTATGTGAATAAGATTTATTTTATGTAATATGTAATAATAATAACACTTGTATTTGCATACTATCTGCTAGGCACTGTCAGGGCTTTATAATTAACCCAGCTAATCTTCACAAGGCTACATGGTGCAGAAACTGAAGCACAGGAATGCATGTGATTCACTTATGGTCCCACATGCTAGGAAATAATGGTCCTGGGATTTGACAAAGGTGGTATGGTTCTGGACACTGTGCTAAACTATCTGTTTTTCCTTTGGAATGAAAACCCTGATATGAGCACTAATAATAATTTTCAAAGATGTACAAATTCTCCTTTTAAGAGAAAATAACATTTTATGAAAGTAGAAAGTGTATCTAAGAAGACAACACAGAACAGAAGTTAAGAGTTAGGACCAAGTTTGAATTCCAAGTCTTCTGCCTGTTTCCAAGCTGTGTGACTGTGGATAAGTAGTAACCTTGTAAAGACTCAGTTTTCTCACCTTTCAAACTGGGATTATAACAGTAAATTTATTGTAAAGATTAAATGAGACAGTGTATATTAAGTAACACATATCTAGCACAATACAATCACAGTAAATAGTACCAATTAATTTAACGTTAAAATACTTTGCCCCACACAATCTGATTAATAGTGAATTCATTCTAATGAAATCTAAAATTTCCATTTATTTCACTCTCAGAATATATATTAAAAGACTGTTTTATATAGACCACCAAGGATTTGAAAATGGCAGGAATATTTTTGGTTACAAGAATGAAATATAAAAATTGCTCTTAGCACATTCAAAGTTCTGGCAACACTCTGATGACATTAAACAAATAATTAAACTGAGAAGCAGCTGTCCAAGACAAACCAGAACAAATAATACCACCTTCATAGTTTGCTGAGCCATTTGGTTTACAGTCAGTTTCCCTGGAGCAGCAGCTGCTTGCCACTCAGCATCGTGGCTTCTAGTACCAAAGGAAGCTTTGTAACCAGATCACCCTAAGTCACTCTAATGTTTCAAGCTGCCAAAGACTTTGTGGTCAGACAAATTGTGGAAGGCTCCTACAATTTAAGACCAGGGATCTTTTTTCCACAGGAGTGATTCAATGTGCATTGAGTGTGAGTTCAAATTTCCTAAAGTTTTGGGATGTCTGTAAAACATCAGATGTCTTGTTCCTTGTGTTTCTTTTCAATAAATGTATTCGATTCACTGCTGATTTGACATTATCCTTTATTTAAGGAAAGTCTTGACAGTGTTCTTGGAAAATTGTCAGTAAAAAAGTTCTGGAGTTTCTGGCAAATAATAGACTTTCATATTAAGAAGTTATATCTGATTTGTCTAGAACCAAGGACCAGTTATTGTGTTATATGTGTTCACTCCCAAAATAAACTCAAAAAAAAAAAAAAAAAAAAGTTAATTAGCATTCTACGGAAGTTTCTCTTGAAAAAATATAAACTATACTCATAGTAAGGTGCTCTGGTGGTGCACTGGTTAAGCGCTCAGCTGCTAACCGAAAGATTGGCAGTTCGAACCAACCAGCCACTCCACGTGAGAAAGATGTGGCAGTTGGCTTCATTTAAGATCTACGGCCTTGGAAACTCTATGGGGCAGTTCTACTGTGTCCTATGGGTTTGCTATGAGTTGGAATAAACTTGATGACAATGGGTTTGGTTTGTGTTTATACTCATATAGACACTTATACTCACAATAGTCAAGCTAAAACAAGAGAAATAATCATACAAAAATACCACTCAAAGTTCTGCTTACCTAACAAATGCTGGGGAAGGTGACATTCTGGTTAATGGATTATTCGTAGCGAGACTTAACATGAATTGTCACACTGCTAGTAACTGGCTAAAGTAAGCATGTCGGAAATCAAAGTCCATGCTCCTAACACCATGCAATACTACCTCCCTATGAAACTATTAGAGGCATATTAGTGGTTTAGTGGTAGAATTCTTGCCTTCCATGAAGGAGACCTGAGTTTGATTCCCAGACAATGCATCTGATATGCAGCCACCAGCCATCTGTCAGTGGTGGATTGCATGTTGCTACGATCCTAAACAGGTTTCAGCGGCTTGTCCAGATTAAGACAGATGAGGAAGGCTTGGAGATCTATTTCCAAAAATCAGCCAATGAAAACCCTATGAATCACAACAGTCTGATCTGCAACCAATCATGGGGACAGCACAGGACCAGGCAACATTCTTTCTGGAGTCCCGGGGTGGTGCAAACAGTTAACATGCTCAGCTGCTAACCGAAAAGTTGGATGTTTGAGTCCACCTAGAGGTACCTCAGAAAAAAGGTCTAGCGACCTACTTCTAAAAAATCAGCCACAGTTCTACTCTGACATACATAAGGTCACCGTGAATCAGAATCAACTCAACGGCCACTGGTTTCAACTGGTATGAAACTATTACCAGAATGGATATGGCATGGCGAAAATACACTTATCAATTTACCAAAAGTCACATAGGCTTTGCTCAAATTTACATAACTTCACACTATTCACAATCTTTAGAACTACTGGCTTTACCTAAGAAATAGATAAGAAAAAACTTTATGCCTTTCAATGTCTTTAGAACATTTTCTTGATTGTGAACTAAACATTAGAACAATGTTATCTTTTTTTTAATCATTTTATGAATTTGTTATTTGTAATTCTAAAGACAATTTAAAACTGAACATTTAATGCAGGACCCCACTGAATAGGACACATATGATTAATGGCAATAAAAAATTTATATGACACTAATAACTGACATCTATAATTAAATTTGTATATATAAACCTAACTACATTACCAAAAAGAAAATCAACAGCCTCTTAATCTTTCAAATAGAAAAAGTTCACTAAAATTTTTTCCATGTAGTCTTTCTCACATTAAATAGGCCCGAAATACCATGTGTAAATACATATTAAACTATAGCTTCTATCAATATAATGCAAGAGAAAACTACATAGGTTTATACCTTCATAACTACAGTAATAGAAAACGTTGAGTGCATCCACTGCAGCTGGCCCTCTCTGTTTATATCCAAAAATCAAATCTATCCACTCATGAAGATGAGCAGAAACATACTCAGACTCCTAGAAAAAGAACAAATTTAATAATTAATAGAGACACTTTCCAACTCAAACGTAAATGTGGATCCTTTATAAAAATAAGGGCAAATTAAACATTTCCATACATAAAGCTTACTGGCTACAAATAAAATTCTTTCAAAATCAAGTTAAACAATTATTCAGTATCTACCACATGTATTGACTGTTCATATCTACTATAATTTAGAGAACCACTCCCAGGGAGTAGGACAGTGGCTGCTAACCAAAAGGTGGGCAGTTCCAAACCCACCAGCTGCTCTGTGGGAGAAAGATATGGCAGTCTGCTTCCATAAAGATTTACAGTCTTGGAAACCTTCTGGGGTAGTTCTACTCTGTCCTATGGGGTCGCTATAAGTCAGAATCAATTTGATGGCAGTAGATTTGGTTTTTGAATTGAAGTTATCTATTGTTGTTCTCCTGTCTTTGTCTTACCACTGATGTCATGTAGGGGCAGATAACTTGTCTCTTCAGTTTTCAGACACAAGAGGAGTTGCATTTAAGGAGTCTCATCTACACATGGACTTGATTTGGATGATAAGATCCTTAACTTTAGGCCTGATGCCTTAATGCAGGGGCCAGCAAACTACTGCTTGTGGGCCAAATCTGGCTGGCTGCCAGATTTGCAGATTAGCAGAACACAGACACAACTTATCTGCTTTCACACTACAATGGCAGAACTGAGGAGTTGCCACAATTACTGTCTGGCCCTTTATAGAAAAAGTTTGCTGATCCCTGCCTTAATGGGATGAGACTTGGGAGTCTTAAGAGGAAGTGAGAATATTTTACATGCAGAATTAAATAATTTGTGACCAGTGGACAGCCGATGTGGTGGATTAAAGGCTGCAAATTCTTTGTCACTCTCCCTATTGAAAGGAGAGTTTACTTCCCCTCTCCTCCTTGAATCTGAACTGATCCTGTGACTGCTTAACCATCACAAGATGGCAGAAGGGATGATGTGACATTTCTGAACCTAGGCCTTAAGAAAGCACAAAAGCTCCCACTTTTGTACTTTTGGGGACATGGTGAGGGCAAGAAGTCCAGCTATCCCAGTGTGTCAATGCAGTCTGCAGATGATCCAACCCTAGATGCCGTGTGACTGCAACTGCATGAGAAACCTTAAGCAAGACCAGAAAAAGTACTGCCAATTGACACCAGTCAGCCCACAGAACTGTGAAAGATAATAAAATGGGCAACAGATTTCAAGACAGTTTGTTACACACTTCTAATATCTTATTACTATGATCTAGAAAGTACGTCTTCCTAAAATCCTGGATCCCACTTCATTTCATACATAATATAGGAGAAATCCACCTGAGAAGTTCCTGGTGGGCTAACAGGGTAATTTTCACATTTGCTTTGTTTCATTTGGAAACCCTGGTGGCGTAGTGGTTAAGATCTACAGCTGCTAACCAAAAGGCCGGCAGTTTGAATCTACCAGGCGCTCCTTGGAAACCCTATGGGGCAGTTCTACCCTGTCCAATAGGGTCGCTGAGTCAGAATCGAGTGGATGGCAATGAGTTTTTTGATTTGTTTCATTTTTCCCAATTCCCTATTCATGCACAGGACTGCTACTTACAAATGTTATAATCTCACCCTGAATTTTATAAATTTACTTACAAATGTTATAATTTAATCTTGACTTTTGTAAACTTGACAAACTACGTACTAAAGACAAGGAGTGTTGCAAAGTATTCGCCTAATTAGTTTAAGAGTCTGCAACGTTTCACTTTAGACAACTAAATTGTCTGTTGTGGGAAAAATATGGAGCCATCAACATTATCTGCAAGATACTAACACAATAATATCAACTAACCCTTACTAGTCCTTCAATTCCAAACTGGAAATACTTTTAATAATTTTTTTTTGTGTGTGCTGTATGTGAAAGTTAACAGCTCAAGTTAATTTCTCATTCAAAACTTTATACACATATTGTGACACTGACTGCAATCCCCACAATGTGACAGCACACTCTCCCTTTCCACCCTGGTTTCCTTGTGTTCATTCACCAGTTCCTGTCCCTTCCTGCGTTCTCATCCTGCTTTTGGACAGGAACTGCCCATTTGGTCTTGTATATTTGACTGAACTAAGAAGCATGTTCCTCACACGTATTATTTTTTGTTTTATAGGCCTGTCTAATCTTTGTCTGAAGAGTGGGCTTCGGGAATCGTTTCATTTCTGGGTTAATGGAGCGTCCGGGGGCTGTAGTTTTGGGGGTTCCTCCAGTGTCTGTCTGACCATTAAGTCTGGTCTTTTTACGTGAATCTGAGTTCTGTTCTACATTTTTCTCCTACTCTGTCCGGGACTCTCCATTGTGTTCCCTGTCAGGATGGTCACTGGTGGTAGCTGGGCACCATCTAGTTCTTCTGGTCTTAGGCTGGTGGAGTCTCTGTTTTATTTGGTCCTTTAGTCCTTTGGGCTAGTATTTTCCTTGTATCTTTGATTTTCTTCATTCTCCTTTGCTCCGAGTGGGATGCGACCAATAGCTATATCTTAGATAGCTGCTCTCAAGCTCTTATGACCCCATACGCTACTCACCAAAGTGGGATGTAGAACATTTTCTTTATAAACTATGTTATGCCAATTGACCTAGATGTCTCCCGAAACTATGGTCCCCAGGCCCCGGCCCCAGCCCCAGCTACTCTGTCCCTCAAAGTGTTTGGATGTGTCTAGGAAATTTGCTTTCGCTTTGGTCCAGTTGTGCTGACTGCCCCGGTATGATGTGTTGTTCTTCCCTTCACCAAAGCTGACCCTTGTAATAATTTTTTAAGTGGCTTTTAGAATTTGGTTTCCTTATTAGAAACTTAGTAAAATCCTTCAGAGAAAACAAAAGCTTATCACTGTTAGATCTGAAACAATGTAGGAACTGCCAAACATCAAACTATACCAGTTTGTTGACTAGAATAGTTCCACATACAGCAGGCATGTATCTTATGGAACTGAAAATATTTAATCTTTTGATAAATATTCATAAAATTGTATTATACTGTCACTATAACAAAATTCATATCCTCAAAATAATTAGTATATTGTACTTTCTAAAGCAGCATACACAGTAGATTACAAATTTATCTAGAAAATAATTAACAGTCAAATATACTTTATTCCACCCTCTAAAAAACATATGGCTGTATCTTCTTAATCTGTCTAATAACTAAAGACAAAAATCTTACCAGAGCTCTCCTATGTTTATAGATGAAATCTTCAGCCGACTTAGCCCATTTGGGGAGAATGACATCATTCACTAGTTCTTTGGAAACTTGTAGACAACCCAAATTAAATTCTAAGACATGTAAAAGATAAACGTATAAATAATTTTAGATTTAAATAAAACAAACACAAATTAGAGTACATTCTTGAGAAAAACAGATGGCTTTTTTCCTTCTTTAGTTAAGAGTGAAAGGTGATAATTGAGTTGTCTTTTGCTCTAAATTTATTCCACAGATAAAAATAACGCTTTTCTGCCTGAATGTAATTTATCAGTTGATTAAAAAATTGTAGATGAAAATAAAATAGTTTTAAATTAGTTACTTGCAAGGTAAATCACATTACTAATTAATTCTTTTGTTGAGAAAAATGGGGAAACTATAACTACGATCCTCATCTTAACCTGAACAAAAAATAAACACTCTTCTTACATTAAAAATAAATAACATGGAAGGTGAAAACAAGCCAAGTGTCCATCAATAGATGAATGCATAAATAAAATGTTGTGTATACATACAATGGAATATTACTTAACCATAAAAAGAAATGAAGTTCTGATACATGCTACAACACAGATGAACCCTGAAAACATTAGAGTCAAATAAGTCAGACACAAAAGGACATATACTGTATGATTCCACTTATATGGAATATCTAGAATAGGCAAATGCATAGTGCCAAAGTTAATTAGTGGTCATCAGGAGTGGGTAGAAGGGAGAAATGGGGAGTTATTACTTAGGGGGTACTGAGTTTTTTATATGGGTGATGAAAATAATTTGGAAATTGTTAGTGGTAATGGTTGTATAACATGGTGAATGTAATTAATGTCATTGAACTGTACATGTAAAAATGGTTTTAAAATGGCAAATGTTTTGCTATATATTTTACCACAATAAAAGTTTTTAAAAATAAAAAAGTAAATGACATAGTCCCTCTAATGGTTAATTTAAGATATATAGCTCCTTAGGGCTTTTTGGTGTAACTTACACCTTAAATTCGCTCACTAGGAGAGTTTGTATTTGTCTTATGCAAGAACTATGTATTCATATACTACTATTCTAAGTTGGTATTGACAAAAAGATTTGCTCGTATATAGTTACAACACAGCATTCTGTCAAACTTTTCCCAAAGATGAGGTTTTCTTGTTCATACAGTGCGGGGGAAAAAGTGTTAACACAAGACTTTTCAAAAAAGAAGCTGCCTTAAAATACCAGTGTGTTCCAAGTTGGAGAAAGGTTTAAAGGTCATAGAATGGCAGGATGAACAGGGTCTCTGACTTTATCTTAATCCAACCACTGTTTAGCAGATATTGTTTGTTACCCACCCCATGACCATTCCTTCTTCTCATCTGCTAGCAGAGCCTTCATTTTGTCCAAGTGTCCATTTCTACCCTATATGACTCAGGGATTAACCAAAGTCAGAGTAATTTCTGCCCACTGCATGTGACTGGTTTAGGTGTTGGTATATTACCCAACTCTGGACAATAAGCAGAGGTTATGAGAAAGGTTTTCTCACTCTTAAGAAAAAAACACAATGAATTAACAATCCCACTTCTTTCTCAAACACTGTTGTATTGGCCCATGGTGCCTAGAACTGCTTTAATCATTTCTAACCATGAGAAGAACTAGCCAAAGACAAAGCCAAAATACTTAGAATGGCAGAATGGAAACAAAGAACTTGGCCTTGATGATTTTTTAAGCTACCTGAAACAATCATACCTTAGAGGTTTTTATTATGGAAAATACTAAAATTTCCTTGCTCGTACAATTTTGAGTTGGTTTTGTTAATATCTGTTCCTGAAGGCATTATGATATACCTTGCTTTCTCCTACCCAGCTCATTTCAAACAAAGAGAGAACACACAGTTAGAAATCAAACCTTCAGGATAGTAGTACTAAGTACCTCTGGCTCTGGTGAATACTTTATCATAAACATGGAAAGCTCTGCATCCAGATCTAATCTGCTCATCCTTCCTGTCCCTGATACCCTGCTTTAGAAGACTCTAATCCATAGGCTGAGAGTCTAGGATGAGACTCAATCGATTATCTGAATTTCTGAAACTCATCAATTCTGATCGCCCTACACTGAGAATCAGATGTCCTGCCTCCAACACCCTGCCCCAGGATGCATGGTTAAAGTGCATAATTCTACTGACCAAGCAAAGGGTTAAACACTAACATTACCTGCTAGGGGAGGAAAGAAGTTGGCAATAGTCCTTTGACACTTTGGAGTCTCCCTAAAGAATACCAGTAGTGTCAATCTTGCCAATTTCCTCATTTGTGCTTAAAAATAAACCTAACAGTATCTCATAGAAAAAGTATTTGGATAGTTTTAATAAAGTATATTTTTAAAGACCATATTTATCTTCAGCTTCTTTACTTGAAAAACATAATGTGAATTTTTAAATATTACAGTGACTTAAACCGTCATTACTTTCATTTTTTTTTTTTTTCTTACTGCTCTAAATCAGGAGACAGCAAACTTTTCTATAAAGGGTCAGAGAGTAAATATTTTCCACTTTGTGGGCCATATGGTCTCTGTTGCAACTACTCAAACCTGCTGTTATACTGTGAAAGCAGCCATTGATAACACATAAATGAACGGGCTGGCTGTGTTCCAATAAAACTTTATTTATAAAAAACAGTGGTAGGCCATATTTGGCCAACAGACCCATAGTTTCTTGACCTCTGATCTAAATTCTCACATTATCTTTCACACACAGGTTTTTAATTTAAATGGCTATATGGCTGAAATAGCCTATAGCCATTTTTGTTTCTTTAGTAAACACTGTACTCATAAAAATTCTCTTACCAATTCAAATTGACTCATTTATCTTAGTTCCTTAAGACACTTCCCTGGAAGGTAAGACTGGTTCCTAGGCATTGGTTAAGCCCTGTCACTGAGTAATCTATAGACTGAATGAACCTTTAATAATCTGTAGAAAGCCAAAAAACCAAATTCGTCCCCATCAAGTTGATTGTGACTCATAGCAACCCTATAGGACAGAGTAGAACTGCCCCACAGGGTTTCTAAGGAGCAGCTGGTGGATTCAGACTGCCAACCTTTGGTTAGCAGCCAAGCTCTTAACCACCGCACAACCAGGGCTCCAATGAAATAATCTGCAGAACATGACAAAATTTTCCTAAAAGACACTTTCCAGACTACTTTATTGGGACTTGTCGAGTCAAATTCTTAATTCCCTATTTCTTACGATTTTGATTTTCCAAAAACTCTGGGAAATAGAAGAATTCAGGAATAAGCTCCTTCACATCATATGGATTATCCATGAGAGCCTGCCAGGTAGCAGGGATGGAATGGAATTGTCGGTCTGCACAGTCAAACCTGCATGTGGAGAATGAAAGAAAACAGTGATTTTTTTTTTTAAATTGTAATTTAGATGAAGGTTTACAGAACAAATAGTTTCTCATTAAACAGTTAGTACACATATTGTTTTATTACAATGGTTAACAACCATATGACACGTCAACGCTGTCCCTTCTCAGCCTTGGGTTCCCTATTACCAGCTTTCCTGTCCGCTCCTGCCTTCCAGTCCTTGTCCCTGGACTGTTGTGCCCCATTAGTCTCGTTTTGTTTTATGGGGCTGTCTAATCTTTGGCTGAGCAGTGAACCCTGGGAGTGACTTCATTACTGAGCTAACAGGGTGTCCAGGGGCCATACTCTTAGGGTTTCTCCAGTCTCTATCAAGCCAGTAAGTCTGGTCTTTTTTGTGAGTTAGAACTTTGTTCTACATTTTTCTCCAGCTCTGAATGGGACCCTCTGTTGTGATCCCTGTCAGAGCAGTTAGTGGTGGTAGCCGGGCACTATCTAGTTGTCCTGAACTCAGTCTGGTGGAGGCCGTGGTAGTTGTGGCCCATTAGTCCTCTGGACTAATCTTTCTCTTTTATCTTGTTTTCTTCATTCTCCCTTGCTCCTGAAGGGATGAGACAAGTGGTGTATCTTTGATGGGTGCTCACAGGCTTTTAAGACCCCAGACGCTACTCACCAAGTTAGAAGGTAGAATATTTCCTTATAAACTGTGTTATGACAATTGAGCTAAATGTTCCCCGAGACCATGGTCCCCACAGCCCTCTGCCCAGCCATTCGGTCCCTCAGGGAGTTTGGATGTGACTATGGAGCTTCCATGACCTTTCCTTCCACAAGTTGAGAACAGTGGTTATTGAATGAGCAACAAGAGTGCATTAAACAAAACTTAAAATCCCTTCAGACTTCCTAGTGAGTGAAGCTTCTCTTTATCTTTTTCTTTAATGTCTAAAAATATAATTTTCTCTACCTATTGTGATAATCTATCTTTTGTAGTGTGTTGTTAGGAACTAAATCATTTTAATCACCAATATCATCTTAGTTAAAACAACTGAAAACCAAATCATTCTGAAAAAAAAAAGGTCAAGTAATTGAATTAAATATAATGTTAAGAGAATTTTTTAAATGGCTTAATTTTTTGCTGAGTAAAATTTATTACAGAAAGTGAGTAAACATTATTTGAATACTCTGAAGAGTTTAAATATCACTCTAAATATTATATTATTAATCTACTTGGTTAATACATCTATAGGAACGTTGCTGATTTAATCCTTGATAAATACTGGTAAATATCTTTATAAACTCTTCTGCCCAAAACCAAAGGATGAGTCAGAGGAATAGCAACAGTTTTGAAATAGCTGAAGTTTTTATATTTTACTTGCATATACTATTATCCTATTTTTATTTAAGTTTTAAGTTCCTTCATGGGCACTCAGAGCCTGCGGCTGTTGGAAAAAGCTCAAGTGGTCATGCTGCAATTTTATCATGCTTTTCCTAATCACAGTAAGTATAAACCGCTTTTGTTTCATTTCCTTTGATATCATTTTCAAGGGTTTATTTATTAAGTGATGGCTTTCAGTCTGAAAAGGTAAGGACATGCTCTAAAGAAAAAAGTGACACTCATGACTGATTTGACTCACTTTTTTATGCCTACTAATCTTGTTTTGAGGCAGAGCTTATCATTATATATTACTTAGCAGAATTTTGAATCTAATTATAAACAGACAATGGGCAATCTTCAAAGTTTAATCATGGTATATTCCTATTTAAGGAGAGGTACAGTAATTTTAGTGGCAGAATTTTTTTTGAGCAGCTTTATTGAGATATAATTCACATATTATACAATTCACTCACTTAAAGTGTATAATTCAATGATTTTTAGGACAGTCACACAGTTGTGCAACCATCACCATAATTTTAGGACATTTTCATATCACCCCAAAATGAAACCCTGTATCCATTAGCAGTCACTCCCCATTCCACCTAGCCCCGACCACTGGCAACCACGAATCTATTTTCTGTCTCTCTAGATTTGCTTATCTGGACATTTCATACGAATGGGATCATACAATATGTGGTCCTTTGTGACTGTCTGCTTTCATCTGGTATACTGTTTTCAAGGTTCATCCATACTGTAGCATGTATCAGTACTTCATTCCTTTCACTCATTCAAGCCAAATAATATTCCGTTGTATGGACATAACATCTTTTTGTTTTAATGAACAAATTTACAAAACAAGGGACTGCTGATGCATAGAATATACCACATTTTATTTATTCATTTATCAGCTGATGGACATTTGGGTTGTTTCCATTTTTTGGCTATAATCAATAATGCTACTATGAACATTCATGTACAAGTTTTTATGTGGACATGTGTTTTCAGTTATCTTGGGTATATACCCAACAGAGGAACTGCTGGGTCACGTGGTAATTCTATGTTTAACCTTTTGAAGTACTGCCAGACTGTTTTCCATAGCAGCTGCATCAATTTACATTCTCACCAGCAGTGTATGAGGGTTCCAATTTCTCCATATCCCCACTAACACTTACTATGTCTTTTTGATTTTGGCCATCCTAGTGGGTATGAAGTGGTATGTCACTGTGGTTTTGATTTGCATTTCCCTGAAGACTAATGATGTTGCGCATCGTTTTATGTGTTTATTGGACATTGGTATATCTTCTTTAAAGAAATGTCTATTCAAGTCCTTTCCCTATTTTTAATTTGGTTATTTGTCTTTTTATTATTGAGTTGTAAGACTTTTTCTATCTATTCTAGATACAACTGCCTTATCAGATATATGATTTACAAATATTTCCTCCCAATGAGTGGGTAGTCTTTTCACTTTTTTGTTGGTGTTCTCTGAAACACAATCAGAATCTATATTTGAAGCTTTATAAAAAAATCATGTACTTGTGAAATCATTAAAAGCTGAAAAGACCCAGTTATGCTTACTGTACCTTATTGGGGGAGGAGGGGAACTACCTGCTACTGTGGTATTTGGAAGTCCCTGGGTGGTGCAAACAGTTATCACAGTCGAAGTTAACAGAAGGTTGGAGGTTTGAGAAGAAAGGCCTAGCGATCTACTTCTGAAAAAACAGCCACTAAAAATCCTATGGAGTTTTGACATGCATGGGGTCACCAAAAGTTAGAACTCATTTGACAGCAACTAGTTTCTTGTGATATTTGCAATATTTGAGGATCTGTAGTGATCCTGGGGACAAACTTTCTTCTTGAAGCCAAGGCTTATTGTACTTAAGGTAGTGATAAAAGATCCAGGCTAATTCTGAAAGACAGAAGCTCTATGGAAAGTCAGAGTAGAATAGGCAATGTTTACACAAGCTACTGATTGGGTGGGGAAGGCAAAGGATAATGTGAAAGCGAAAGGTGAAATGGAGACAAAACGTGAATAAGTAGGGAGCCACCTGGAGGATATACTGGAGAGTAGAGGATTCATGGAGGAATTTATTTCTTTAGGATGATTAGGAAAATGTGAAAAATAGGTTAGTTATAACTGTAGTAGGCAATATGTTAATACAATGGTATCATAGACCTGTTTGAGCTGCTGCTAATAATGTAAGAGTCCTTCATTCATTTTTTTTTTAAATTGTACTTTAGATGAAGGTTTACAGAACAAACTAGCTTCTCATTAAACAACTAGTACACATATTGTTTTGTGACATTGGCTGCCAACCCCATGACCTGTCAACATTCTCCCCTTCTCGACCCTGGGTTCCTCTTTACCAGCTTTCCTGTCCCCTCCCGCCTTCTCCGTCTTGCCCCTGGGCTAGTGTGCCCATTTAGTCTTGTTTTGTTTTATGGGCCTGTCTAATCTTTGGCTGAAGGGTGAATCTCCGGAATGACTTCATTACTGAACTAAAAGGGTGTCCAGGGGCCATACTCCGAGTTCCTCATTCTTCCTTCTTTCTATTCTTCTTGCTAAATAAACATTTTTAGCAAGACTATATAGACATTGGTTAGGTTTGACTCTCTAGTAGATACGTATCTTGGATCTAGGTCTAAATCAGATCCAACTTTAAATCACTGGTAGGTCCCTGAAACCAGTAGAATCACAAAGGTACATGGGATAACAATAAAAAAGCATTCTCCTTACAAGTTATTTGTGCAAGTCAGTTTGAGTGACTTATTCTCAAACGAGTTTGGCATAGACTATTTTTATCTAGAGGTGCTATATGCATCAATGCCTACTGGAGGAGAGTTAAAAAGACTTGGCCCTGCTGTACAACAAATGGCATAAAGGCAAGTAGTTTTAAACACTAACATACAGTCATAAGAAAATATCTTCTGCACCCAAAACATACCTTCCACTCTGCAGCTGGATGTGAAGGGAGGTAAATGGTTCTACACGAATAAGATAATGCATAACCCCTGCAGAATTTGAATAGTGAGTACCATAATGAAACTTGTCAATAGTGCCCATTGGATCCTCAAAATTTTCATATCTAAAAGAAGAAACCAAGGTTTTATAACCACTAACAGTAAAATTAAATCAGAGGAACATAAGTTTGTGTTGTGTTGCTGAAAACATGGTTTTAAAAAAGTCCTTATTAATGTTTTATTATCAAATATGTATGCTTATCAAGCATACTATATTAATAAATGAAAAAAGTTATAGTCATTAAAACTTTTTTTCAAACAATGAATTACTAATAATACTGGATTCTGAAAACAGTTTTGTATTATGTAATAATACATGTTCATTGTAAAAAAACTAGAAAACACAGAGAACTAAAAAAGAAGAAAAATCTTGGAGATGATTTGCAAAGAAAAAAATAATAATGCACCATCTAGTTTCAAATAAATCTAGAATTACTAAGTTAGTTTGCAAAATATTTCTTTGTTCTTATTATCAGAAGTCATAGCTGACAAGTCATCCACAAGTCCACATGGAGAAAAAAGGAAATTAAAACCAGATAATTCTATTACCCGTCAGCAGTATGCTTTGAAGAAAAAAAAATTGTGAGATGTTTACATATAGCTTAGATAATTAATAAACAGAACTATAAATATTTCCTGTCTTTATTAAAATGATACTTTCTAAATTTTCACACATTTCATTGTTCTTTATTCACATTACTGTTGAACGGTATATTAGCATTATTAAATTTATAGCTACAAAAATATTATTATGTTAGACAGTTATTTTTACATGTTGGATTAGGTTATTAAAATCTAAAATTTTCAAGCGCCTACTACCCTTTAGCATATAATTATTACAAGATGAAAATAAATTCTGAATAATATCAATTTAAATTTAGAAAAAAAAAGGAATGAACAGAACTGTACTTAAGATATTTGAATGGCAAGTGAGACACTGTCAAGAAAAATTAGTGCACCAATTATCAAACTCTGCTTATCAAAAGTAGTTGTACATTCCGAAAAATAACATTTGGTCTGTCATGGTAAAAATCTATATAAATTCAGACAAGCACCGAGTATCTTTAAAAACAGATAAAAGGCACTTACTTTTCTCTCATGGCTTTGGCATTTTTATCATTAACAACCCCAATTGGTTTGGAAAGATCTCGAAATACAGCTGGGTTATTAAGGTCCAACTCTTCTGAAGTATAGTCTTGTAAAATCCAGGGAAACTAAAAGAACCACAATTTACAATTCAGACATTCCTTCCTAGAGAATTTAATATCCCCATATCTAATATCAAATGTTTATCTAAAGACAAAAAAGGATAGTCTTTAAAAATACTTTTTTCCTGTTGCAAATGTTTATTCACTCTTAGTTCGATAACCAGAACTCCCCTGGAATATTTTCAACAAACTGAAAGAAAAACTCCTTTATTTTTAAATTACTCTTCATGTTTATATAGCATATTTTCAGGCAAATAACATGTGCGTTCTATGGTTGTTTGCCAACCTTGCCCTCCCCCTGTAAGGTATTTTTGTAAGCACGCTATACTAATTTTTTTTTTTTACAGCAACAAGTAAAAATAAACTGGCATGGCAGTGCTTGTGAAAATACCTTGTGGGGAGAGGGAGCAATTGGCAAACAAATGTAGAAGGCCGTGTCATTTATGTAAAAATGGGAAGAAAATATAAAAAAAGTCAAAAACAGTTTTATCTATGTTTAAAAATTTAAGTCATTTAAGTAACAAATACATACTTTTTGAGCATTATAAACCTGAAAGGTAATTTCGTATTTGTGAGATTTATATAAAAAAACTTACCACAGGATATTGTGCAAGGTCATTATAGGTCCGTCCTGCCATTGTATTTATTTGAATGAGGTAGTCAAAATTTGATATCTCTCTGTTCACCCATTTCTAGACAGCACAAAAGAGCTAAATCAAATTCAAATAATCTACATTTCTTAGAAATCAGCACAATTACTGACAGTACTAACATAATCTTGTGTTCCCCTTATCTCTATCATCTTCATAATAAAAGGAGGGCTTAAAAAAAAAAGGCTTAACAAGGAGATAAATCAATATAATTTTCCTAAATTTATTTTCTTTAAAAAACTGGGTTCTATAAAAGTAAGAAAGAGGTCAACATCAGTCTTACACTACAGTCCACAGGGTCTTCATAAGAATTGTCTTTTCTTCAATTAAATAATAATTGATTTAATAACCTTAAAAATATTAATTCTAGAAGGACTGCCTCATTTTGAAAAATTTTTATTAAAAGATTTAAATAATATGCATATTAAAATGTATCTTAATAATATATTAAACCAATTTAAGAATTTTAATGAAATATTAAATTAACTTTCCTCAGAGAACTGCCTTTATACAGCAATGATAAATGTGATTTTGCTACATTAGATACAAAATTTTCTAAAGAGATAATCATTATTTTCTTTTAATCACTTCACTGTACCTAGTCTGCTAATTACTCTACATAGTGAGTATACTCGACAATTCTGCTAAGAGATTAACATTCACCTTTAGGTTTACTGTGGGCCTTGAGCAGGGATATACCTATGGGGAACAGTGAGAAATGAATCTCTATATATTGATCTTATAAAGTCCAATTATAATTGTTCCTGTGTACCAGTTTGAAGAATCACTACTTTAATGAATAAAATTTATTTCATAGGCAACAGGGAAAGTACTTTATGAAATAAAGCTTATTCCACAGACAACAAGAAAGAACTGCTTATGGCTTTTGAATGAGAGCAACACTTAAAATTAATGCGTATGTAGGAGGAAGGAAAGTTAGGTGGCAAAGACTATGGTTAGGGGACTACTAATAGTCCTGGAAAGCAAAAAAACAGAAAAAAAAAAAAAAAAGCCTTCACTTGGGTTTTTGCAAATTCAAGTGATGTCAGGAAATAGGTGAGGATAAAATATACGAGGACATTAATTAGCTTTTGTTAGTAGAAGGACTGGTGATTTCATCTGCTGTTTATTCTTGGCATTTTTTATATTATCTTCTACTGTCTTGATTTTTACCTTGTGCATGAATTATTTTTATTATTAAGAAAAAAAATCACATTTTTCTTTTAAAAAAGAAAATTATTAAGGAAGAAGAATCCATAGGACATGCTTATGAACTGAATGATTTCGGAGAGGGGAGACACTGTGTGTGAGGGAAACAAAGGATGATTCAAAGACAATTCAAAAGATCAAACTGAAAGGAAAAATAATAGTTTGAATAATCAAAATGAAATGATCAGAAAAAAAAATTTTACTTTTAAGCAAAAGTCTGAGACATAAAATGAATACCAAAACAGTGCCTATTAAAATTTCCTACCTGTGTCAATCCTGATGCTTTGAATACCTCCTGTGGTGATCTGGTTCCATAACTATTTGGAGAATGAAGTGACAATAGTCTGCTATACACTCTGTTTCTAACCTATAAAGAACAACATTTTATAGTTCAAAAATTGATCAAGACAAATATGGATTACGGTTTCTATAACAAGCTTTATTAAGATATAATTCATATACCATAAAATTCACCCTTTTAAAGTATACAATACAATGGCTTTTAGTATATTCACATAGTTATAGAAGTATTACCACAATTTTAGAACATTTTCATCATCCCAAAAAGAAATCTCATACACATTAGCAGTCACTTCCCAATTTCCCCTCCCTCCCATCCCCTGGTAACCACTGATATACTTTCTGTCTCTATGCATTTGCGTATTCTGGACATTTCACATAAACAGTGGATTATGGTTTTAACTACTATACTAGACTTGGTGGAATCAAGCCACGTATTTTTTGAGAACATTATAATCATTAGACTCTGAATGAGAAAATTGTTTAAGTCTACTTCAAATTTAGTCACATCATTTACTAATCACATTGACAAATCATTTAATTTACTGAGTCTCATTTGTAAATTAAACCTAAGAATCTTTATCCTTATAGTGCTCTGAATCATTCAGAGCTATATAAATGACAAAGTGGCTGCAACAATGGGCTTAAGCATAGCAAAGATTGTGAGGATGGAGTAAGACTAGGCAGTGTTTCGTTCTGTTGTACATTGGGTCGCTGTGAATCGGAACCAACTCGACAGCACCTAACAACAACAACATATAAATGTAAAGTAATGAGATTCACCTTTGAACTTCAGTTTCCTCATCTATGAAAAAAGGAGTGATATAATTACCCCTATCTAATCTGAGGGTTATTATGAAGATTAGGTATTTTATACAAATATGCTTTAAAAACCATAGGCTACTCATCTAGCCTGAGACCGGGAGAACTAGATGGTGCCCAGCTACCACTACTAACCATTCTGACCAGGAACATAATTAGACAGAAAGGGAGAAAAATGCAGAACAAAAGTCAAACTCCTAAAAAAGGCCAGACTTACTGACTGATAGAGACTAGGGGAACACCTGAGACTAACAGCCCTAAGATATGCTTTGAAGTTGGAACTGAAGCCACTGCTGGCGGTCATCTTTCATCCAAATAACAGAATTACTTATAAAATAAACAATATCTATCACCTGTGAGTACTGTGCTCCCTTAAATAATCAACTACACAAGACCAAACAGTCAACATTTACTCTAAAACAAAGATGAGAAGCTAAGGAGGGCCAGGGAAGCTAGATTAATGGAAACAGAACAAACAGAATGAAAAAATATTAGAATGTTGACACACTGTGAAAAATGTAACCAATGTTATGGACCGATTTGTATAAACACTGCTAAATGGGAACCTAATTTGTTATCTAAACTCTCACCTAAAACACAATAAAATAATTTAAAAAAAAAGTATACTATACAATATACAGTATTCAGCAGGTACAGACTTCGTAATTACATGACACAGCTTTCTAAAAAAAGACATGCTTTGTATTTTCCTATGGGGAAAATCTATTTTTAATAGTACAGAGGTATCTGTTCTGTAAAAACAGAAAAATACTCTTAAAACGTCTGAATCAAATTATTTCTTGAGTGAACCCAGGTCCTACAGATGAGCAGAAACTTATTGTCTGAGTTAATCTTAAACATCATGACAGAATGAACATGCAAGGACTTTATTAGGGAGATAAGAGAAAATAGGGAGCCAGGCAAGATGGGGAGTGCCATCAGACAATCATGTAAGTCTGACCCCACGTAAAGGAAGCTCCTAAGTAATCTGCCCTAAGGTTACACAACTAGTGGTAGAATTGGTGCTTGAACCCAGGAAATCTGGCTTCAGATTAAGCTCTGAAATTATTTAAAAATTTATTGTATTCTTAGAAGAAATAGATCTCATTATTGCTGAATTTGAACCAAATCTATTTCCATAAATCCAGTCATATCATATATATTGCATGTTATATCATAATCAGATACTGTAAGGTACTCAACAGGCTGACACTCAATATGCTACAATTTCTTTATCTACCCATGTATATAAGAACTGACAACTGCCCTTCCAGTACTCAAATATAAACAAATCTCAACAAAAATTCATATAATGCTGAGACCTCAAAGTATATATTTTTTTCATCTAATATTTTGACCTGATCAAAGAGTACAATCCAAAGTTCCATCAGAGTTCACTAGCTAGGAAAGCATTTCAAGCTAATACTTCAGGGCTTCCAAAAAGGTAGCGTCTAACACACCTCTTTTTTGAAATTGAGAAAGTAGTTGGATTGGTCGACATGAAAAATCTCAAGGGCTGATCTCCTTAAGTTGTAACGCCGCAGGTGAATCTCTCGAACTTGGGAGTGAGGCCACTTGAAATCAAAACCTGCTCCTGAAAACGGAAGAAATCTTGTGACGGAGGTGCCATATAAAGTTACTTGTGCTATGCAGAAAATATTTCCTAAATCCTGACGAAAGTAGCACTTAAAGAAAAAGAATTTCTATGTCATAAAAGCCATTTGCTAAATTTACTGGACTTTTGAATTGTGTTTCTTTTATAACTCCTAAAAAAACATTCTATAGCTGTCCTACTGCCTTCCCAAGAGAATAGAAAATAATTCTGAATATTATATCTTAGAAATATTTTTCCTTTTCTCTTTATGCTAGTATCTTAGATTTAATTATCCTTTCATTATGACATAAAGGAGTAGGTGAGAAGCCTATAAAATAAGTATGCATGCAAACGTATGATAAAATTAAGACTGTATTTCATATCCTAGGTTTATAGCAATTCCCTCAGGTCAAACCTTTTAAAGAACATTAATAATAAAAAGAAAAGAATTCCCTTCAACACATTGTTGAATGACAAATTTAACCCCATACTGAGTTTCCATTTCTCCTTTTACATGACAGACTACAATGTCACAGTTCTGTCTTACTATTTTCTTCTTCTCATTCATGACTGATAAAGTGGATAGTTAATTACTGAACAACAGAAATTATTCTCCCAGAACTACTCACCATCTTCTTTTTCAACACTGCCATCATAGAAGTAAATATGTTGAGTAGTGATTTCAAATCTGCCAGGAATTACATCAATTATTGTAATGAGTTCACAGTCTTCTGTCAACACCAATTTTTCTTTTTGATCTTGTTCTTCTTTCTCATCACTGTAAAAACAAACAACAGACAAAAAACACCCAATATCATATTTCATTTAAATGGAAAGAATATCATATTCAAATAAATATCACATCTATAAAATAATTACCCAAGAAAGAACAGGTACTTGAATTACCTACAAGAAATAGTCTACTATATATATAGTCCAAATAGTTTTTATTACACAATGGTTTTGTTTCATTAAAAATAATAGGCAGTACATTTTAATTGTATATGATCCATTAATACAAAATATAATTGAAACTTAAGTAATACTGCCAGAGGACAGGTCAAACATGCAGCAGCACTAGTGATGTCATTTTAGCTATATTTTGGGAGACATGGTTTAACCCAGGAAATATCTGAATCCGTGAATAAAAGGCTGCATTATTAATGGTACTGTATAAATAATTATTAAAGTACTAACCATGACTCTTAAAATTGTAAAAGAAAATTTTGAACAGCAACTGAAACTAGTACATCACCATCATAGCAACCCCCTGACAATGTAACTGGAACATCTTTTCATATGCTTATTGGCATTTTAGGGAGCCAGGGTGGTGCAGTGGTTTAATCGTTTTGTTGCTAACCAAAAGGTCCACAGAACTTACCAGCTGCTCTGTGGAAGAAAGATGTGGCAGTCTGCTTCTGGAAAGATTTACAACCTTGGAAACACTATGGGGCAGTTTTACTCTGACCTACAGGGTCACTATGAGTCGGAATTGACTCAATGGCAATAGGTTTGGTTACTGGCCTATTAATGTCTTCTTTGGAGAAATGTCTATTCAGGGCCTTTACTGATTTTTTAACTGGGTTATCTGTCTTTCCATTGTTGAATTTTAAGATTTTTTAAATAAATTCTGAATGTAGACCCTTATCAGATATATGACTTGCAAATATTTTTTCCCATTGAGTGGGCTGTCTTTTTACTTTCTTGATGATGTCTTCTGATGCACAAAAGTTTTTAATTTTGATGAAGTCTAATTTTTCTAATTTTTTTCCTTTGGTTGCTGTCTTAGTTATCTAGTGCTGCTATAACAAAATACCCAAAATGGGTGGCTTTAACAAACAAATTTATTTTCTCACAGTTTAGGAGGCTAGAAGTCCGATTCAGAGTGCCACCTCCAGCGGAAGGCTTTCTCTTTCTGTCAGCTCTGGAAAAAGATCCTTATCTCTTTTGAGCTTCTGCTGGGTGATCTTCACGTGGCTTGGCATATCTCTTCCCACATCTCTGCTCTGCTCACTTTTTAAATCTCTTTTATATCTCAGAAGAGACTGACTCAAGATACACCCTAGACTAATCTTATCTCATTAATATAACAAAGACAACACCATTCCCAAATGGGATTATAACCACAGGCATAGTGGTTAGAATTTAAAACATATATTTTTCGGAGACACAATTCAACTCATAACATTTCACCCTTTGGCCCCCCAAAATTCATACCCTTGCCACATGCAAAACACATTCATTCACCCCATCATATCATCTCAAAAGGCTTAAATCCACTCTAAGTCCAAAATCTCATCTTCTGAATCATCTAAATCAAATATGGATGAGACTTTAGGAGTATTCCATCTTGGGGCAAAATTCCTCTTCATCTGTGAACCTGTGAAATCTAGATTACAAGCTATTTGATTCCAAAAAACAACAGTGGAACACGCACAAGGTAGATATTACAAATGGGAGAAACCTGTACAACAGGACACCAGCAAGTCCAAAACCCAGTAGAAATTTTTATATTAGCTCTCCAGGCTTGAAAATAATCCTATGTTCTCTGAGACTACCTGGGCTATGGCCCCCTCCTCCAGACTCTGGGTGTTGGCCATGCTGTCTGGATTCTGGGTGGATGCCCCTCGGTCCTGGGCTTCAGCTTTGCCTTCCAAGTCTACTGGGACAGCAACTCTGCTCCCTTGGCTTTGGGCAGCCCCATTTTCCTAGTACATCTGACTGGTGACCCCACCTCCTCAGATTCAGCAGGCCCCATTCTCCTGCCCCTTGGGCATGGCAGCCATACCCCCTCTGCTTTGGGCAGCATCCCCATACCCCGGTACATCTGAACAGCAGCCCCACCCTCTTTGAAATCTAGGAGGCTGTAGCCCCACCCTTTGAGATCCAGGAGTCCATGGCCCCACCCTTTGAAACCCTACCCTTTGAGACTGAGGCACCTCAGCCTGCCATGCTCCTTCCAACAGTTCTGCTGACCTCCAAGTTGCTCCAGGAATGGTTCTTTTCTTTTCTTGGAGGACAACAGATGTAGCTCCTTTGGCCTGTTTTCTGCCTGGAGAATTCCAAAAGGCAGACAACGTTCTCTCCTTTCATTCTTTCTCTGTCCCCTTTAGTCTAAGATGATGGGTTTTCTGCTGTGGTAGCTGGTTAGATCCATCAGTCTTTATATCTTAATATCTTTAACAAAAAAGTTTGTGCAGCAATGTCCTTGGTGAAAATTCTAGGACATGTGTCCTTAGTTTGTGTGACAGAATTTTCCACATCTTTAAGTTTTGTTTTTATTTTGCACAGTTCATTTTTAAGTCCATCTCTTTCCTCTCACATTTTACTATAAGCAGCAAGGAGAAACCATGTGGCCCCTTTAAGATCTTGCTTAGAAATTTCAGTCAGATACCAAAGTTCATCACTTACAAGTTCTACCTTCCACCAAACATTTGAACGTAATTCAGACAAATTCTTTACCACTGCACAAAAAGCATCACCATTCCTCCAATCACATGTTCTTCATTTTCTTTTAGAGCCTCACCAAAAGTCCATTTAACATCCACATTTCTAGCAACATTTTGTTGCTGGTGCCATATGTATTCTCTAAGACAACAGAAACTTTCTCTATAGCTCTCCTCACTTCCTTCTGAGCAGTCACCAGAATTGTCTTTTACGTCCATAATTCTACTAATAGTCTCTTCAAGGCAATCTAGGCTTTTACTATTAGGCACCTCAAAAACTTCCAGCCTCTATCCATAACTCAATTCCCAAACCACTTTCATATTTTAGGTATCTGTTACAGCAGCACCCCATTCTTCCGGTACCAAATTCTGTTTTAGTTAGCCAGGATTGCTATAACAGAAATGCCATAAACGGGTGGCTTTAACAAACAGAAATTAATTTTCTCACAATTTAGGAGACTAGATGTCCAAATTCAGGGTGCTGGCTCTAGGGGAATGCTTTCTCTCTGTGTTGGCTGTGGAGAAAAGTCTTTGTCTCTTTTGAGCTTCTGCCGCTGGGCAAACTTCATGTGGCTTGGCATTTCTCTTCCTTATGCGTTTGGTGTCATATCTAAGAAACCACTGCCAAATCCAGAGTCATGCAGATTTAGTCATATGTATTCTTCTAAGATTTTTGTAGTTTTAGCTTTTAGAGTTAGGCCTTTGATCCACTTTGCGTTAAATTTTGTATATGGTGTGAGGCAGGGATCTGTCTCAATTAACAAGTGCTGCTATAAAAGAAATACCACAAGTGGATGGCTTTAATAAACAGAAATTTATCTGCTCACAGTTTAGGAAGCTAGAAGTCTGAACTTAGGCTGCGAGCTCTAGGGGAAGGATCTCTCTCTGTTGGTATTGGGGGAAAGTCCTCATCTCTTCACCTTCTGTTTCCTGGTTCCTTGGAGATTTCCATGTGGCATGGCATCTATCTTCCCCCATCTCTGCTTGCTTAATCTACTTTAATTTCTTACAAGAGACTGACTCAAAACACACCCTAACCTAATCCTGCTGCATTAACATAACAAAGACAACCCATTCCCAAATAGGATTATAAGCACAGGCATAGAGGTTAGGATTTAAAATACACATTTTTGAGGGACACAATTCAATCCTTAACAGGGTCAAATTCATTCTTTTGCATGTGGATATCCAGTTGCCCCAGCACCACTGACTTCATTTTGAAGGATAGTTTTGCTGGATATACAATTCTTGGTTGACAGTTTTTTTCCTTCATCTTTTTGACTATGTCATCCCACTGTCATTTGGATTGAATTATGTCCCTCCAAAAATATGTGTATCAATTTCGCTGGGCCATGATTCCCAGTATTGTGTGGTTATCTTCCATTTTGTGATTGTAATTTTATGTTAAAGAAGATTAGAGTGGGATTGTAATACCCTTATTAAAGTTGCATCCCTGATCCAATGTCAAGGGAGTTTCCCCGGGGTGTGGCCTGCACCACCTTTTATCTTATAAGAGATAAAAGGGAAGCAAGCAGGGAGCTGGGGACCTCACACCACCAAGAAAGCAGTGCCGGAAGCAGAGCGCATCCTTTGGACCTGAGGTTCCTGCGCTGAGATGCTCCCAGACCAAGGGAAGACTGATGATGATGAGGACCTTCCTCCAGAGCCTTCCCCTGGAACAGAGCCTTCCCCTGGAGCTGATGCCCTGAATTTGGACTTGTAGCCTACTAGACTGTGAGAAAAATAAATTTCTCTTTGTTAAAGCCATCCACTTGTGGTATTTTTGTTAGAGTAGCACTAGATGCCTAGGACAACAGTTTTTTTCCTTCATCATTCTGACTATGTCATCCCACCGTCATTTGGACTCTGTTGTTTCTGATGAAAAATCTGCAATTACACTTATTATGATTCCCTTGTATTAAACTTTTACTGGGTTTATAATGTATATAAATGTATAAGTTATGACAATAATAGCACAAAAGAGAGATGAAGAAATGGATATCCATTTTATATTTACTTAGGGGCAGTTTTAAAACTATAAATTAAAATTGTAAAAATAGATATAAAGTTATTCAAGTTATCTATTTCTTCTTGAGGAAGCATTGGTAATTTGTGTCTTTTAAGGAATTTGTCAATCTCATTCAAGTTGTCAAACTTATTGGCATAAAGTTGTCATTGGTATTCCTTTACAATCATTTTAATATTTGCAGTGATATTTTCCTTTCATTCTTGGGAATCAGGGATGAATTACCCAATAATCAAGGTACACACAGGCTTACTTATGCTTGCTTACTAATCTATAGTACACAATTTCATCCGTTTTTCACCACATCAATGATGTGAAATTCATGTGAAACTGTGCATCACAGATTAGTAAATAAATTCAATTAAGCTCATGCATACCTTGTTTACTGGTTAATCCGTCCCTGCTGGTAATAGTAATTTATGTTGTCTTTTTTTCCTGGTCAGTCTTGGTAGGGGCTTATGTTTGTTATTTGTCTGATTAATTTTTAATAACTTTTTTCTTTTTCATTTACCTTTCTGTTTTTGGGTTTTCTCTTACATGAATTTCTGCTTTTGTCTTTATAATTTCCTTTCTTCTGCTTATTTAAGAGTTCATACTTAATGCTGTACATTTCCATCTAAACAAATTTTGTATATTGTCTTTTCATTACCATTCAGTTTAAAATATTTTCTAATTTCAAGGTCCGGCTCCAAGTTACCACACTTCTAAGAAGCCTTTCTCAATAATCTCAGTTAATACTGATAAGACTCCTAACAGCTCATTTAGCATTAACTGTTGAACCTTGGAAATACATAGTACTAGAATTTTAAGCAAGTATCTTCTACAATTTCACAATCTCATGTCTCAGAACAAATTATTTTAAATTCTTTCAAATACTTATACATACATATTTACTCTGGCTGTTATGTCGTCTTCAGGAAGGTCTAATTTATCCTCTTCCATATCATTAACTTTTACTTGTTTTACTACTTCCAAAAGCAATGAATCACTGGAAGGCTGTGAGTGTTGGATACCTGTTTAAACACAAAGTATTTATTAAACACAAAGTAAGAGAAAATTATATTACAGCCCTACCATAATTTCTTAATGTTAATTATATCATAAAACTAATATGTGTATTATAAATTAAAGAGGTACTTGTCTTGAAATTTTTCTAAGATAAAAAAGTAAAATAACTTACTATAGAAAAGTTTTGAAACATGACTTAGAATAATTTATGATGCTTGATGGTGACTTTTAAAATTACAGTACATGTAGTAAAAGGAATAAATGTTTTTAAACTATGACGTCTAGTTTTAATAATGGTATTATTTGTTTTTCTGAAATAGGTGAAGTACTCTCGTTAATCATATTAAGTTCTAATGCCAAAAACTAAGGCAAAGACGAATTATTCTGATTTTATTAATATAATAGAACCACTTTTATTGTACATTTTTATCACAGAAACACTATGAAATAGCAACACGACAAATCATCTTTAACTGGAAGATAATACATAGACCAAGACCTGAGGTGTTCCTTTCTGGAGCACACGGAGTTTAACAGATTGATTCTGATATACATATAAAAAAAACAAAACAAAACCAAACCCAATGCCATTGAGTTGATTCTGACTCATAGTGACTCTATATAGGACAGAGTAGAACTGCCCCGTAGCTTCCAAGGCTGCAAATCTTTACAAAAGTAGACTGTCACGTCTTTCTCCTGAGAAACAGTTGGGTGAGTTCAAATCGCTGACCTTTCAGTTAGCAACAGAGCAGTCGACTACTATGCCACAGAGGCTCCGTATAGATAGATACGCACATGCATACATATATATATACATGCAATGCGTTTTATAAGCTAAACATTTTCTAAAACGGCAGGATGGTGTAAGAAATGAATATGGGCTGTAAGTGGCAAACCTAGTTTCAAATTCTGTTCTGCCATTTATTTGCCATATGGCCCTCCTCAACCTATGTTTCTTATCTTTGAAATGGAGAATATATCACAGAATTATTATATATATGAAAGGTAATATACATGAAGTACTTGGCACACATTAAGTATAAAACAAATGGTAGCTATTATCATACATTCACCTCATTTATCTGAATGACATGAGAAGAACAGTAATACAAATTTACATAGTTTATAGGTAGGAGTGGAGAATATTTATATATTTAAATATGAATAAAGACATTTCAATTATGGGAAATAAAAATAGTTGATACTAAATAACAAACACTATAAAGATGACAAAGTGACTAAGTTTAAATGCTACATTGTCCTCTCCCTTAACTCCTCAAATGGTATCACTGCTCAGACATATGAAATGAATTAACCTAACATACAGTTGAATTATTCTATGTAAATTTGCCTTGATCAGACCTTCCTCTACATTGGGAAGTACTGGTTCACACTTTCCCTAGAACAAGTAACTACTTCTACTGAACATGGCTTTTCATTTGGTCTAACTTAAAACACAATTTTATTGTTAAACATTTAATTAAGCAAAACACATAAGAATTCAATAAAAACTGGAAAGAAAGAAGTCTAGATAATCTGATACATATAATTCACTATGTAAATGAATGACACAACTCCATTAAGATTTTAAGTTGAAAATCTGATGGATGATTGATGAATGAACTGAGGATGGGAAGGACTGTAGGCAAAGAGGACAGTAGGGAAACTATTGTAGCATAAGCCAAGCCAAGATAATAAAAAGGGAACAAAAACAAGAAAAAATATTCAAAAGATATGTAAGAGGCAGCATCAGCCGGACACTGTGCCTGAAGAGCTGTCATGTAGGAAGGATTAAGAGAGAAGAGGACAGACTAATGGATAACACTAATGTTTCTAATTTGAACAACTATAAGATACAGACACTGTCAACTACAAGATACAATACAAGCAGAATCTAGAGTAAAAAGTATGGGAAAAGAGAACGAATTCAGTTTCATACATTTTATATGCAGGCCTCTATGGAAGAGTCAAGTATATCCCAGTAGGCAGTTTGAAACCTTGGTCTAGAGTTCAGAAGGCAGGTTAATATTAGGAATACAGACTGGAAAGCTTCATTACATACAAGGTGGTGAAGCCATGAGATCACCAGGAAGAGCATATACAAAGGTAAAAGGCAAGAGGTTTAGGCATGGATCTAGGAACACCATCATTCAAAAGGTAAACAAGAAAAAGGTTCTAGAAAACAAGACTAAGAATTGAGAAGAAAAGTAAAGAGGTTAAGCAGCAGATATAAAATATATATTTAAGGGGCTTCAAATGCTTTAGAGACAATGGAAGCAGTGTGAAGACTGAAAATAAGTTTTTACACTTGGCAATTAGCAAACAGTATGTCTAATGAAAAGGCATGGGCAAAACAAAAATTTTTAACCAAATAGTTTTAATGATACATTCAAGAATATACATATGATAACTTTGTTTTTGGCTATTCCAAATCCCTAATTTACAAGTGGTGTGTTCCAAAAGACAATTCACAAGTCAGTTGCTTGAAATTCACAATGGATATTCCATCAAAAATAATATTCCAAAAAATGGTTAAGTTTGTAGATTAGCCTATAACGTGAACACTATTCTATACATTTGCAATGAGATGCTTACAAAGTAGTACTGGGGTAGCTGAAACAAACCAAAATAAAAACATATTTTAAAAAATAACATCATGAATTCTGGCAGCTAATAAAAATACTCATATAGACAGAAATAAGGAATAAGTGAAACATTTTGCAGTTAATTCTGAACCATATCTAAGGGAACATCAACAGTTTTAAAGAGGGATGCCCTTTTTTTTTTATTAGTAGTAATTTCACTTTGAAATGCATGGATTTTTTCCTTCTGTACAGTGTTATTATAACCATTATAATTGGGGTAATTTTCTTAAATAGGTAAAAAGAAAAACTGAGATACGAAAAGTAAGAAAGAAAGGACATTGTTTTCCTAGGCTTTAAACGACTAAGACCAAAAAGGGACATAAAATTATGTCTGTGTGCATGTGGAAAGAGGTGCAAAGGAGAGGAAGAGGGAATTTCCTGGGGTGGGATTTCTTGGCAAAAGTGAAGAAAAAATTAGAAAACGTAACTCCTTAAACAGCTACTAGGTTGAAGTTATTCACGGAAAAGGTGTCTTCTGAGTGATAAGGACAGGGAGTGGAGAAAGTATAACAGTCACAGGGTATGTACACTCACAGGAAAGAGAAGCTGAATGTGACAGGCTGTTCCTATATACAATACACTTAGTGTAACTGTTTGTATCATGGGCAGAGACGGTATTTTCATTAAGGAATATCACTTACTCTGATTTATTTTAACATCTAAGATCCTAAACGGCAAGCATCATGTCCCTTTTTATTTTATGGCATCAGCTATACCGGCCAGTATATTAAGACAATTTTAAAAAGTAAGATTTAAAAATTGCTAGCTATTTCATCTAAAACCTAGTCACTGAACACAAAGTACCATAGCGTCTATAGTATAACCCATTGCTGTCAATTCTGACTCATAACAACCTGATACGACAGAGCAGAACTGCCACACAGGGCTTCCTAGGCTGTAATCTTTACGGAAGGAGACTGCCACATCTTTCTCTCGTGGAGTGACTGTCGGGTTAGAACTGCCGACCTTTTAGTTAGCAGCTGAGCACTTAACCACTGTGCCACCAGGGTGCCTATTGAACACATACAACCATTTAAACGTCAACTGTAAAATGTCACCCTTTCTTCGTACGCAATTAATAAATAAAAATAACAATAATCAACCCCATCAACACCCTCAGTATGTTCAACAATTAATTAAACAGTCATTGGAACTCACCCAGATTATCTCTCAAGGCACTAGCTTCCTCATGGGTTCTGAAGTTATAATTCGGCACCAATTTAAGTCTCATGCGGGAATAATTTTCTACGTTAGCTAGTTTCCAGTGAATTGGATTCTGTTTCCTACAAATATTCATAAGTAAACAATTAAAACTATTTAGCTTAAAGTTACAAAGCACTGGTTGACTGACATAACGTAAAAAGTTCTAGGTACTTTATATTTGTTTACTACTATTTTATTAAAAAAACTATCACATTCATTATCTGATTTGAACCAAACAACCCTGAGAGAAAAATCAAAGTGAGTATGTACAACTGTAGTTTACAGATGAGGAATCTGAAGCTGAGAAAGGTTAAATTATTTGCCCAAGATGTCATCTGCTTTATAGGTAACAGAACTAAGATTTATAGCTTGATACCTTTTTACTCCTATATTGAAAAGTGGAAGCGCTTAACTAGTTATACCAATGAGTTTGTATTTCCAAATACAGTTTTCAAAATAAAACAATAACCTTTACTACATATGAAGATAACTTCAAATGGACCAAAGACCTAAGTATAAAAGCTAAAACTATAAAAATCTTAGAAAACATAAGAGTAAATCTTCATGACACCAAAAAGAAGCACAGCAACAACAGAAACCATAGGTAAACTGAACTTCATCAAAATTAAAAACTTGTGCATCAAAAGACACTATCAAGAAAGTGAGAGGCAACCTACAAAATGGGAGAATATACTTGCAAATTACATATCTGAAAAGGGTCCATTATTCAGAATATATAAAGAACTGCTACAACTCAATAACAAAAAAAAAAAAAAAAAACCAATTAAAAAAGCAGGCAAAGGACCTGAATTGACATTTCTCCAAAGAAGATACAGGCAGTCCCCAGCTGATGAACGAATTCCATTCCTAAGTCTGTCTTTAAATCAAATCTGTACATAACCTGGAACAGTTAGGTAGGTTCGTATCTAACGTCAGCTAGTCAAATGTCTGTCTTAGTATATAGCATACAGTGTACCTTTCTATGCATAAAAAAAATGAAGGAAACACTTCCAGATACACTAAAACATCTTTAATAACATAGTAATAATAATAATGTTTTGATGCGTGTCACAAAGTAGCAAGCACCCTTTGTTATTACAAACAATTGTATGTACCTCATGTTTTTAATATAATAGGCTTTACAGGGGCTGTTTCATAACTACAGGTTGTATGTAAACCAGACGTTCATAACATGGGAACTGCCTGTATGCAAGTGGCTCAACAAGCATATGAAAAAGTTCTAAAAATCATTAGTCATTAGGGAAATGCAAATCAAAACCCTAATGAGATACCTAGTTTAACAAAGAATTACCATATGACCCAACAATTCCATTCCTAGCTATATACCCAAAGAATTAAAAAAACAAACACTTATACACAAATGTTCACAGCAGCACCATTCACAATAGCCAAAAGATGGAAACAAACCAAATATTCATTAACTGATAAATGGATAAATAAAATGTGGTACTGGCCCCCGGACACACTTAGAACTCAGTACTGACATCACTCCTGAGGTTCACCCTTCAGCCAAAGATTAGACACGTCCATAGGGCAAACAATAACACCCATGAGGAACGTGCTTCGTAGTTCAATCATGTATACGCGACTAATGGGCACGCCAGCCCCAAAGCAAAGATGAGAATGCAGGAAGGGACAGGAAAACTGGACGAACGGAAACAGGGAACCTGGGGTGGAAAAGGGGAGAGTGTTGACACATTGCAGGGTTGGCAACCAATGTCACAAAACAATTTGTGTATCAACTGTTTAATGAGAAACTAATCTGCTCTGTAAACTTTCACCTAAAGCTCAAGGGCTGGGGGAGAGGGGTCTGGTAGGTGACTACTGAATTGGTTCGGGGTTTCCTTCTGAAGTGATGAAAAACTTCTGAAGCTGGACAACGGTGATGACTCCACAACCATTTAGCTTAAAGTGAATGTACTTAATGCCACTGAAGTATACATCTCAAAATGGTCAAAACAACAAATTTCATGTTATGTGTATTATACCACAATTTTTAAAAAAGGCTTAAAAAAAGATAATTCAGCAAAACTTAAGTGACCTTAAGATCATTTAAATAAATTGTAAGATATTAAAACATATAATATCATTAACAAATAATATCAATAATATCAAAGTGTTGGTATCAGGAAGGCAGAAAAACAGTGGTTCAAAGGTTAGAGTCTCAAGTTCAATAAACTGCCTACCACAGAGTAAAAGAAATGGATATAACTGCATGATGAAACACATATACACACAAACCTCTAAACATCCCAGACCTATAATTCACAAAAAGAAAATGATATTAACTAAAACCATTCCTTCATAAACTAAAGAAAAATTAGAGTGAAGGAGCCATTGGCTCAGAAAGTTCTAGACCAGAGTTCTAAATGGAAAAGGTAATTAATAAATTATAGACTCCTACCTTTCAGCCCAAGGTCCCCTTTCACATGTAAGATAGAGCTGTATTGCCTTCCAGTGTCTCAGAGTGGCTAACCATTGGCTGTTAAGTTGTTTAAGCATATTATTATACCTCAGGTTCTCCTGGCGTGCTTTTCGGTTAAATGGCTCCACAAATGATTCCTGAAAGAAACAGCAATAAATAATAGCACTGAATCTCATATATAAAGTTTTAATGCCTTAATTTTGAAAAACTGACCCAATACAATATGAGAAAGCTGGTATTCAACAGGCTTTTCTTGTTCAATTAGAATAATTTTCTTTGATAAAGCATTATGATTCTAGCTATCATATATCTATATCTACGTATGTATGTGTGTGTATATATATATATAAATATACATATATATATACATATATATATATATATACACATACACATATATACATACACTGTACCCACTGCCGTCAATTCCGGCTCATAGCGACCCTGTAGGACAGAATAGAACTGCCCCCATGGGGTTTTAAGGAGCGGCTGGTGGATTCGCAATACTGACCTTTGGGTTAGCAGCCAAGCTCTTAATCACCACGCCACTAGGACTCTGGTATATATATGTATATATGTACGTATATATATACTTAACCAACAATAAACATGTGAAGAACCTCAAAACCTGAAGGCACCTCAACATAGTACACCAGGGTGGAGCTGCCCCATAGGGTTTCCAAGGAGCACCTGGTGGATATGAACTGCCAACCTTTTGGTTAGCAGCCGGATACTTAACCACTACGTCACCAGGGTTTCCATATATATATATATATATATATATACATATATATATACACACATATATATATACACACACACACACATACACACATATATACATATATATTTTAAAAAAAAATTTAACCAACAATAAACATGTGAAGAACCTCAAAACCTGAAGGTACCTCAACATAGGATTTTTAAACTTAGAATTAACTCCTACTGTCAAGTGAAATGATTTTTCCCTTGGGATCTTTTGGCTTATGAGGCATCTGGAATAAGACCCAAGTTTAAAGGAAGTAGAAGGAAGAGTAATCACGTTCCACACTGCTACTGATGGTTCTAAAGAAAATGCCAGAAACAAAAGAAATCTATACAGGCAAATCTCCCACAATGAAAAATTTCATCCCTTGAACTACTGCCTGAATAGCATACTAGCTAGCAAATCAAGTCACATACTGATCTTATTTCAGTTTTCAGGATAAAACAGACTCTGGTACTAGTTTCTACCAAGATACAACTTCAAGCTCTGAAATTAAAGTTTCATAGTTTTCAAAGGGACAAGTGGTGAGACCACCTTATTTAACTCATACTGATATTCATATATTAGGAACTAAAATGACAGTATTAATTTGTTTCAAACAAATCAACAGTGAATTACAATGGAAAAAAACAGTTAAGACATAGATGGAACAATTTTCGACAGTACAGCAGTGTGTAGTTAGACCTGGATATAAATCTTAGCTACTTAACTCTCTGGAGGTTCAGTGTCCTCATTGGTAAAATGAGGTTCACAATAATTGGCATCATAAAGATTAAGACGTAGAGGGCTTAGTACAGGGTCAGGAAAATAGTATGCTCTCAATAAATAGTAGTTGTTATTATTATAGTTGTTATAATTATTACTGGACTTGTAGGAAATAAATTATTTGGGACACAGTGTTATCAAATACTTAAAACAGATCACTGCTGAGAAAATTGAGGCAGTCAAGACATCTCCGTGATACTTTAACATCAATTTGACACTCTTCAAAGTTCAAGCATATAAGGATATTCTTACATGAGGTTTTTAAAGTAAAATTTAACAGTGAAGTTACAGAGAAAGTGTTGTTGGGAATATAAATTGGTGGAACTTTATTTACCATAAGGGTTACCTACCAGTAATTCCATTTATCCTAGGAAATTCATCCTGGATAACCATAAAGATATGACCATAAAGATGTTCAATACTATTTACAATAAAAGAAAAAACTGGTAAATTAGGTCCAACAATGGAAAATAAATTTAAATAATAAGATGGAATACTATGCAGTCATATAATGCATGGGAAGATGTTCACAATACAGTTTAAGTTAAGAAAGTAAGTAGCGAATGAAATTGTCCTATTTTGGTTTAACCAAATATATACATAAAGATACAAGAAAGATACATATCAAAATATTAATAGTGGTTAAATAGATGTTACATAACTTTATTGGAAAATAATTCTTTAGTATTTGTGGATCCCCTGATATACCACAACTCTCCTCCAAAACACTCTTCCACAATACATATTTGATTGACAGAAAAAAAGTGAGTGAATGAATGTATAATTCCTAATATATGAATATCAATATGAGTCATTCATTCCATTGTCTTTTAACTTACATAATTATTCTTGGGAAAGTGAGTTCTACAGGTTTTCCCATTTGATGTTATTAGTATTTTTTATTTTAGACATTCTAACAGGTATGTAATAAAATCTCATTCTCAATTTAAATTTGAATTTTCCATTTTTTAAAAATTGGGGTGCTTGTTTGCTCATTGTGGAGTTTTGACAGTTCTTTATATATTTTGGACACATGTTCTTTGTCTGATATGTGATTTGCAAATACTTTCTCCAGCCCATGGCTTGTCTATGCTTTAACAGTGTCCTGCTCAAAGACTAAAGTTTTTAATTATGATGAAGTCCAATTTATCCATGTTTTCTCTTATGGATCATGCTTTTGGTGTCTAAGAACTCTTTGCTTAATCCAATGTCATGAAGATTTTTATCCTATGATTTCTTCGAGAAGATTTATTGTTTTACATTTTACTTTTATCGTTTTATATTTTACTTTTAAGACTAATTTAAGTCTAAACCCAAGGAAAAAAAAAAACCAAACTCCTTGCCTTCGAGTCGACTGTGACTCTATAGGACAGAGTAGAACTGCCCCATGGGGTTTCCAAGGAGTGACTGGTAGACTCAAACTGCTGACCCCTTGGTTAGCTGCTGAGCTCTTAACCACCGCACCACCCAGGCCCCATAATTTAAGTCTATGACCCATTTTAAGTTAATTTCTATATACAGTGTGAAGCATAAGCCAAGGTTCTTTTTTTCTAAAAGTACATGGATATCCAATTATTCCAGCAGAATTTGTTAAAAATATTGTCCATTCTTCATTGAATTACTGTTGCACCTCTGTCAAATATCACTTAACCATATTTGTGTATCTCTATTTCTGGATCTTCTATTCTATTCCATTGGTCTATATGTATATTCTTTTCCAGTATCACACTGTTTTGACAAGTGTAGCTTTATAATGCATCTTAAAATTGTGTAGCCTAAGTCCTTCAATTTTGTTCTTTTCCAAAATTGTTTTGGCTATTCTAATTCCTTTGTCTTTCCATACAAATTTTAGAATCAGCTTGTCCATACGTACAAACAATACTCCTAGTGCTCTGATTGAGATTGCATTAACTCTTCAGATTAATTTGGGAAGAACTAACATCTTAAAATGACTTAAGACTATTGAGTCTTCCAGCCCATGAATAGTATCTCTCCACTTATTTATATCTTCATTTCATCATTGTTTCATAGTTTTTAGCATACACCTCCCATATATATTTCATTAGATACCTAAATATTTCATTCTTTTTAGAGCTATTGTAAATAATATTTCTTTTAAAACTTCAGTTTCCTATTATTCATTGCTACTGTATCAAAATATGACTGAATGTGGTGTACTGCTCTTGTGTCCTGCAACCTTCTAAACTCACTTACTAGTTCTAGGGGTTTCTTTGTAGATTCCTTAGGATTTGAAATGTAGTTAATCACATTGTCTGCAAACCAGTTTTTTTTTTTAAATTTATTGTTGTGCTTTACTTACAATTCAAGTTAGTCTCTCATACAAAGATTTATACATACATTGTTATGTGACCGTAGTTGCTCTCCCTATACTATGACAGCATACTCCTCCTCTCCACCCCAGATTTCCCATGTCCATTCAACCAGCTCCTGACCCTCTCTTCCTTCTCATCTCACCTCCGACAGGAGCTACCCATTTAGTCTCATGTATCTACTTGAGCTAAGAAGCACACTCTTCATGAGTATCAATTTATGTCCCATAGTCCAGTCTAATCTTTGTCTGAAGAGTTGGCCTCGGGAATGGTTTTAGTTTTGGGCTAACAGAGAGTCAGGGACCATGTCTTCAAGGGTCCCTCAGTCTCAATCAAACCATTAAGTCTGGTGTTTTTACTAGAATTTGAGTTCTGCACCCCACTTTTCTCCTGCTCCGTCAGGGACTCTCTGTTGTTTTCCCTGTCAGAGCAGTCATTGGTGGTAGCTGGGCACCATCTAGTTCTTCTGGTCACAGGCTAATGAAGTCTCTGATTTATGTGGCCTTTTCTGTCTCTTGGGCTAATACTTTCCTTGTGTCTTTAGTGTTATTCATCCTCCTTTGCTCTAGGTGGGCTGGGACCAATTGATGCATCTTAGATGGTCACTCACTAGCTTTTAAGACCCCAGATGCCACTCACCAAAGTGGGATGCAGAACACTTTCTTAATAAGCTTTGTTATGCCAACTGACCTAGATGTCCCCTGAAACCATGGTCCCCAGATCCCCGCCCCTGCTACTCTGTCCTTCCAAGTGTTTGGCTGTATTCAGGAAACTTCTTAGCTTTGGTTAATCCAGTTGTGCTGACTTTCCCAAACAGGGATAGTTTTATTTCTTCCTTTCCAATGTGAATGTCTTTTATTTCTTTTTGTACTTTTATTGCATTTGCTAGGACTTACAGTACAATATTGACTTGGAGCAGTGAGAATGGACATCCTTGCCTAGTTCCCGATCTTAGGAAGAAAGTATTCAGTTTTTCATCTTTCAATATGAAGTCAGTTGTAGGATTTTTGTAGATGTTAAGGTAGTTCTCTCCTATCCCTAGTGTGCTGAGAACTTTCATGAACAGATGCTGAATTTTGTCAAACGCTTTTTCGGCATCTATTGATGTGATCATGTAATTTTTCTTGATTAGTCTACTAATGTGGCCCATCATATTGACCGATTTTTTTAAACTAGCCTTGCATTGCCAGGGTAAACTTCATTTGGATGTGATGTATCTTTTTTTTTTTTTAATTTGCTGGATTTGGTTTGCACCTGTATTCCTGAAGAATACTGGTCTATAGTTTTTTTGTACTGTCTTTGTATGGTTTTGGTATGAGTGTAATATGGGTCGTAATATGAGTTGGGGAGTGTTCATGCCTCTTGTATTTTCTGAAGAGATAGTGAGGAACTGGTGGAATTTCTTCATTAAATGTCTGTAGAATTTGCCAGTGAAACCATTTGGGCCTAGAGTCTTCCTTTTTGGAAGGTTTTTAATTACAAACTCGATTTAATAGATGTAGGACTATACAAAGAAGCCCTGGTGGCACAGTGGTTAAGTGCTCGGCTGCTAACCGAAAGGTCAACGGTTTGAACCCACCAGCTGCTCTGCAAGAGAAAGATGCGACGATCTGCTTCCATGAAGATTTACAGCCTTGGAAACCCTATGGGGCAGTTCTACTCTGTCCTGTAGGGTCTCTACGAGTTGGAATCAACTTGACAGCAATGGGTTCAGTTTTTGGTTTTTTGGAGGACTATTCATGTTGTCTGCTTATTCTTGAATTTGTTTTGGAAATTTATGTCTTTCAATAAATTGGACTGTATCAGTTAAGTTGTCAAATTTAAATATTTGTTCATTTGTTTGATTCTCTTATTATCATTTTGATGTCTGTGGGGTCAATGGTGATATCCCTCTTTGTTCCCTGATATTGGTAATTTTTTACTTCTCTTGTTTTGCTTTGTCAATCTGGCTAGAAGTCTGTCTACTTTATTGATATTTTGAAGAACCAGATTTTGATTTCATTGATTTTTCTCTACTGTTTTTCTGTTTTTAATATCATTGATTTCTGTTTTTATCTTTATTAATTCCTGCTTGCTATGGGTTTAGAGTACTTTTCTTTTTCTAGCTTAAGGCAGACTTAAATTTAGTGCTATAAATTTCCCTCTAACCACTGATATATATCCACCCTCCTTAGAGGTATCTACTAATGTACCATCAGCTCAATAGTTTTTACATAATCACCATTATAGAACATTTTGCTATTAATTTATTTTAGCCATTACTGATCACAGTTGTTTCTTCCTTCAATTTTGATATAATTTTCAGGCAAACAATAGAAAATACTATTTGTTTTCAAATTTCGGCTTGGTGTTACTCTCATTTGAATATTAAATGCTTGTCATCAACATGAATAACCATGATAGTAAAAACATTTAATAATTTTTACCTTAAATTTCAGTTTGCTTTCCCCTCCTTCACGATCTCGTTTATGCATATTCACCATTAAGGCTTCATAACAATCTTTCCAATAAAGTGCCATTTTCTCACGACCATCATAAAATGTACTGCTTTCATACTGCTTCATATAAGGTACAATCTTATTAAAAAATATATACAAAATTTAATATGTATTTCTACAAAAGTAATAATTTAGTAGAAAAAAATTTTGCTCAAAAAAGGTAAAACTTACATATTTTTCTACGTAAACCTGCCATTCATTTGAACTGCAATATTCTTGAAAATCTTCAAAAAAGGAGGAGCTACCATTGGTAAGAGGTAAAGAAGGCAGGTGTAAGTTCATGAAGAGAAGCTCGTAAATTTTGGAAACCAGGGTACGAACAAGGGGAATCAGAAATGAGTAGATTTCAGTTTGTTCCTTGATTGACTGACTTAGAACATTTTCCAGCTTCCCTAAGATATAACATGCCTCTTTCTGATTTTCAATCACTTTGGTCTGAAGGAGTGTATTGAGCTTTGCTGATGCCATTGCACAAACCTGGAGGAAAAAATAGTGTAGGTGAGAAAAAAGAGACTGAAAAAAAAAAGAGCAGACACTTAATGACAGCAAAAGTTCTGTTTAGCTTCTCTTAATTTTTTTTTTTAATTAAAAAAGTAATTCATATTTATTAATTTGGAATACACAGAAAAGTTATGGTGGGTAATTTATGATCCTATCCTATCCTATAGTTTGCAAGGGATGGGGAATGACCCCATCTCTAGCTCCAACAATAGGTTCTAAAAAATATAAGATAAACAGAATATCGAACCCCTTGCCAGTGTCTGGTTCAGGTAACTCATATCTAATCAGTCAACTCATGTCATTGCCTTTGTCACAGAGATTCATTCAGGGGTGGCCCTATCAGTGCAAGCTCAGAACCTTTCCAAACTAACTGCCAAGAACTGTGAAGGGTCTCAGATGTTACCTTACCTCCAAGTTAACAAGTTAGCCTGTCAGTTTCATGGATGCTGGCAGAAGATATGGGACTCCTGGGTCAGAGACAAAGATCCTCAGCAATAACAGTAGTCACAATATCAACATTTGAGCTGGCTCCCCAAACTACAATTCCCACAGGGAAAGATGAACAGGACTAGATGATGCCTGCACGTGTAGTGGTTGCACTACAAGAGAGGAACCCTGGGCATAGGGACCTCAAATCTTTTATACTGTGCAGGAAGCCTGCCTGACCTATCTTAGAGGGAGACATTATCTTTATTATAATGAGCAGTAAACAAGCCTGCCCTTTGCTCTGGAGGGAGACACTACCTCGACTTCCCAAAGTTGTTCACTATACAACCTTCAAAAAGAAAGTTCATAATCAGGTTAGCTTGTGCCTCTGTTTGCAAATATGTAGAAACATGAGAGACTCGTGGAGAACTGTCTACCAACAATGACTACAGGCAGAAGCACTTGCTTTTCCCTAAATATGAATAAGAAAGCATGTAGCCTCAATTGCTGTTGGCAGCCATTTTGTGGCCATAAGGGAAGCCGGCTCAAGAAAGTTGACACATGATCAAGAGTTGTGAGAACAGCAAATAAATGAAACCGGAGCCCTGACTAAATCATGCCTTATACTCATTTTAATTATGCGATTTTCAATCATATGAGCCAATAAATCTCCTTAACGAAGTCAGTTTGAGTAAGTGTTTCTGTTACTTGGAACCAAAAGCATTCAGATACATAAAGGACAGGTACATAGGAGACCAAGACCTTGATCACAAACCTAACCACCCTTAAGGTTCCCAAGAAAATACATATTCAGGGCACAAAGCCAGGCAAAGAATACTCTATATTACTATTAAGCTTTAGCCTTAAACCCAGTGTTGGTAGGTAAATTAGGTCATAAAGAGGACTCCTTTTGTCTAAGCTGGAAAAGATCCATGTCTTCTAACCAAAGCAGGACAAATGATCTACTGTGTCTCCTTTTCCCTTTTAGATCTTATTTCTTCCAAAATAAAGAAAAGTGAGTGAGAGAAGAAGAAAATATTAGAACCTGCCATCACTTCTAGAACGTGTTTGTGCCACAATTCAGGACAGCGCTGGTCTGAGCTGTACGCACAGGTCTTTGCAGGCCAAGCCAACAAGAATTGACCTCAGGCAGTCCTTTCCATGCAAATCTTGATGAAGTAGAGAGTATCAAGAGGAAACAATGTCTAAGATAGCTCAAAACTTTAACTCCTCTTCTGGAAAGTGAAGCTTCTTCACCCTCCTAACACTTTCCCCAAATCCCCCAATTTAGTCTATGAATATGACTATGAATGTGAACAAGTTAAAAATAATCTTCCTAAAAGTGCAAGCTCTAAACTGCACAGATATTAACAGCCTAAGCAGGCTGTATAACACCTAGATACACTGAATATAGATGATGAGTAATGCTTTCTAACGTAAGCTATGTGTAAACCCTTTAAAAGCAAACCTTAAAACTATACTGAGTCATAAATATCAAGGAGAAATAATTAATTAGCTGTCTCTCAAGTTCCTTTCTAATCTCACAAAACTGAAACAAAAGTGAAATCACGGGTACTTTTGGAACTAATTAAAAAACTGAAATACTGAAAAAAAAACTGAAATACTGAAAAGGCATCACCATCTAGTTATTACATGAATAACACCTATGCTATGTGCAAGTATAGAAAATAATGCAAAAGAACTGACAAACCTGCAAATTACCCTTTCCAATGAATCCTAGAAGCAACTGGATCTGAATTTGAGAGAGTTCCATCAATTTAGGACTTTCAGAATACCAGATTGACAGACAGTCGAAGAGCAGCATTATATCCTCTAAAAGCTATCACAAAGAAAAAATTAAGAAATTAAAACATAAGTTTTTTAATCTACTGATGATGAGTTTTCCCCAACACTAATACAAATCATAAATACTTAAAAAGTAGCTCAAAGTTCAGTTGGCAAAGTCCAAAGGAATTATCTTATTAATAACTAACAAAATCTGATTATTAATCACATCTTTTTGTTTACTGAATATTAGTGTTCTAAAAAAGATGGATGCAAAATTTCTTACTTTGAATAAAGTCCTCGACTACCCAAAATATAATCTTAAAGGGATATTACTGTACCTTTTCAGTCCACATGTTTGAATTAACTAGTCCCTCTGACTGCAGAAAGTCCTGTATGATCAGCATGAGTTGGAAGGCATTTTTAGCAGTTCCTGGATTAGTTTTTGCTTCTCTGTTTTCTAAGACTGCACATTCTAACATCTTCTGTAGCAAACTATGTATAAAACAAAATCCTCATTAAATCATTATACATTTAGACAAATAGTAGGACATGGAAAACAAACAAATAGTTACTTACTAATAGAACCGCATTTCCCAAGCTACACTATCTCTGGCAGGTATCACCAAGACAGTGTGGATGGTACTTAATAACAATGGAGCAATGTTTTAATCTTTGGAGTTATCTACCTTTTATACACTTAAGATCATAAAGGTCAAAGTAAAAGTTATATTTCTTTTACTACAAAAAGGCTACAAAAATAACTCCTATTCTCGTCTACATGAGATAGTTAATTTCTTTAAAGCTGAAAATTGGAAAGGCTAGGGAAGAAAAAGCCTTATCACGCCATACAGAGTTTAGCCAGGTAGAAGAAGAAAGAGGTTAATTCTTCCCTGGTGTGTTATTATTACAGAGTCCTATCATCTTCAGGGAACCCTAAATGCATTAAAGAACTAATTTTATCAAAACACTACTCCTTCCCCTTAGCATAGAAACATTCAAATTTAGACAAGCTTGTAGAGTACATCATGTCCTCAGATACCACAGAAGACAATTTAAACAATATAAGTAATCTGTCATCACTTATAACCCAAATTAATTTAAGATTTAAATCCCCTCACATTGGAGTTAGCTTTGGATTGCTCTCTAGATCCTGCTAGAAAGGTAAAAGACAGGAAAAGGGACCTAGCACAATGTCTCCTTTTCTCCCTCTACAGCCACAGAAGATATTGAATAAATAAGTGTTCAGTAACTTATTATTTTAGGCTCCTGCCTACTACAAAAGGAAGGAGACAGATCACCAACTGAATGCTTACATTAGTTTTATTTCATCTGAAGGTCGAAGCAGCTCACTGGATATTCCTGGTTTAGTTAGTGCAGAAAACACTTGTCCCCGTTCAATCCAAGTATCATCATCAGACTTTTCTAGTCCCTTACACATTACATAATTCAAAATATTTGTCAGTAATTGAAGAAGCTCTTCCTCACATCTCTATAAAAAAGATAAAGTAATATTGAATTACTGGAAGGAGAAAGTGCTAAAAGCTCATCATAAGAAGTATTACATATACAAATAGTGATCATTAACATATTTTAAAAGTGCCTTGATGAACTTAGCACTTCACTAGGCCCTAACATACAAAGATAAATAGGACACTAGCTTTGCTCTCAAGGTGCTCACAGACTAGTGACTTCTAGGCTTTTAAGTCTTAGAGCATGAAATTTAGCACATGAATATAATAATAAATTCTTAATAACTGCTCACACATTTCTAGGGATTAGACGTATATAATGGATATACTGAAAAGAAAAAAAAAGCACATGGACACATAAGGAATATTACCTCTTGGCTTTCAAATAAAGAGAAGTCATCACTAAAGCCCGTATCGTTTGTGTTGCCACTTTCTTTGTCAGGCTGCACAGAAAATGATTTAGTCGACTCTATTGGGGATGGCGTGCTGGGCAGGCTGTCTGGCATCTGACTTCCACTATCACTCAGTTCACATGAGTCAATTCCACTGAGATCTAAACTCAAATGTGAAGGGTTATTATGCCAAAAGTCTTCTTGATTCTCTGATTTGAAAGACATTTCTCCTACAGAGCTATCTTCTTGAAATAATAGCGTGTTTGAGTCTAGGGAGTGTCTATCCTCCAAACTCCACTGATCTGAAGACACATTAGTTGAGGCAAAAGAGCTGATTTTTTCCTCATCTGTCTTTTCATCGAAGTTCCTCTTAATATCTTCAGCTGAAATATTTGTGGCATTGTCTTTCATTAAAACAGTCCTACTGTGCTTATTAAGAGTATTTCCATTTTCAAAATTGGTTTTTAAAAAAAGCCTAACTAAGGTGTCTTGCCAACCCACTTGCTGTGATACTTGATATGCTGCATCTGGTTGGGACTGCAGAATCTGCAGAATCTGCAAAGAGATTAAGAATACAAAATTCTTCAAAAAGTACACCGTACTTTACAATAAAAATAGAGTTTTTTCAGTTATTTTAATGAGAAAGTAACTTAATAAGAAACTATGGGAATATTTAAAAAGATTATATTCTTTTTTTTTTTTTTTATCGTACTTCAGGTGAAGGCTTACAGAACAAATAGTTTCTCATGAAACAGTAGTACACATATTGTTTTACGACATTGGTTAACAACCCCACGACATGTCAACCCTCTAACTTCTCAACCTTAAAAAGATTATATTCTTAACTGGATTATAGACTATTTCGGAAGACAGACATTGTGTTTCTAACTAATCTACATACTACTCATCGTACCTTATATAAAGAGGTACTCAAACATTTGCTGAAAGATAAACAAAGGAAAGGTAATTAAAAGGGTCCTCTACATACCAAGACACTCATGGTATTAATTTGGTCAAAGAGAAACTATAAACGGAACAATGGTATATATAAAAGGGAATAAAGTTATATTCTCTCAACTGGATATTTTCCATGAGCTTACTACATTTGTTCAGCAAGTATTATTGAGCACCTACAATAATGCCAGGCATAGCTCTAGGCACTAGGAATAGAGCAGTGACTAGGATACACAGACACCTGGGTATGCCAAGGGTAATGTTTCCCTATCTCGTTCTTTTCCCCCAAAGTTAATAGTTGCTTCTGCAAAAAAAAAAAATCATTAAGTCTATATTGTACAAACAAAGCAAAAAGTAAATTTTAATTCTGAAAAATAAATTTCAGTAAGATGGATGGATGCTGTTTAACCTGAATAAGAAGCTGAAATTAAGAGTAGTCTTTGGCATGGTAACAACTTGTGATCTCTACTATCCAAATGATTTCAAAATTTTTAGATGAAAACAAGTTCTCAAAAACTATCAGAAGTTCATTTAAGAGCTTTAAGACATTTTTATCACAAGGTCAATAAATTTCTGGGTAGATTTAAAAAAAAAAAAGAACGTCATATTCAGCTCCCAGTGTTGAGAGCATCTGTTTTTACAAAAGCTCTATATCTGACAATTTTCACAGCTGGAGGTGAATAAGGTTGGCAGACACTTCAGTATTAATGATACCAATACAGGACCATGATACAGAAAGCAGTGAGTCACAATGACATGTGACGTTTCTTTCTTCACTAACGCTATCGATCAGTGAGCTACCATTACTCTCTCAGTGCAGAATACGAATTTTTCTTTCTTCCAGATTAAGTTTTGCTTAGGAAAGAAATGTTTCATGACTTCACAACTTTACAGTTTCCATAAAATAATACTTATTTTATGTCTATTTTATACACATATAGTAGGTAAAAACTAGAAGCTGGCTGCGTTGAAATATGTTTCTACCCAATTGCACGTGGAAGGGAAAGGATCAATCTACATGACCTGCTTCAAATTCTCAGGGTTGAGGAGCGTGCAGGGAAACAGTCACTGTCGCACTGTTCATGGAATGTAAACTGATAGTTATTGTGAAGAAAAATATGGCAAAATTCATCAAAATGTAAAATGCAAATAACCTTTGACATAGCAATTTCTACTTTACAGACCATGTTCTAAAGATATATTACCACAAATGGCAAAGATACATATATATATAAAAATATATGTATATATAAAAACACACACACATATATATATAAGATGTTCTTTACAGCAGCTTACAATACAAAAAAAGTAGGAAACAACCCAAGTGCCCATCAATAGAGAACCACATAATAGTTTATAGAACAGCCACAGAATGAAAACTACGCAACCGTGAAAGAAAGATATATATCTAGAAAATTAATACGACATAATTAGGGAACAAAATTGAAAAGAAGAGCAAGAGAGCAAATTAAATAGTAGATAGGTGAATGGTTACCGGCGGAGGACAGAGAGGGTTATGATCAGGAAGGGGTACCCAGGATAACTATTTCTTGATTTGCGTAAGGGTTAAATGGGTGCATCAAAGGCTAATCATTGTTGAAACACTGCACTCATAAATTCTAGGAAATTCTTTCAACAAAGTTCAAAAGATTTAGAAACTCTAAAACATATTCTATGAATTAGAAATGGTCATATTCATGGCAGGTTCTTGATAAACTATTCTCTAGTAATAAATTTCTGACTTTGGAAACGGCATATTTCTAGGAGACCATGTGGGGCTAGGGGCTAAGAAGGTCAAATTCATACACTGATTGCTCATAAAGTTAATAAATCTCAAAAAGGGAAACTGTTTACTTGTAAAATTGTATCATTTGTAAAATAACAGAAATTTAAACCTACATCTGGTACAACACACACAACCCAAAAGTTATTCACAGTATAACGATACTGCTAATTTAAAGTATATCTTAAAAGTTTACGAACCTTTCTACAGATGACCACTCTGACATTTATATATGCTCTGTGAGATATATATACCACAGATAACAGATCTTTGAAATTAATAACAGGATCTATGGTGGGAAAAACAAAAAGTTAAAATTAAATTCTAGAGATAACCAAAGAAAGAATTGTGGGCAATAGTTGTATAAATGCTGAAATAATTGCTTCATTTTTAAAATTAGAGTGTATAGATATGTTCAAATTAAAAAAAAAAAAAAAGTTTAGAACATTTGATGTCTTCCTGAGCCAACGCTAAACAACTGTTCTTTTCCTTTGATTGGCTGAACATATTGTCCATACTGCTAAGCTCGTATTATTTATCTTTTTATGTACATGTCTTGTCTTATCTAGACATGGTAAACCACTCAAGGCAAAGGTCTTTATCTAACATCTTTTTGAATTCCCAGCACTTGGCATAAATTCTACACTTTGTAGTTAAGTACTCGAAATTCTTTTAAAAATAAAAATTGGGAAACAAAAAAATCTGAAATTAATTTTCATATTTGTCTTTAAGAACTTAAGCTCCTTTAAGAAAAAGACAGTCTTTTATATGTAATTCCTTTAATGCCCTTTTCTCAATATGTAGCCTCAATTGTTAATTTAGTCATTCAGTCAATAAAACATTTACTGAAGACCCATCAAATACTCGGCACTATACTATGCCCTCGGGAGACAATAACAACAAAGATACACAAGATACAATATCCAAGGAAAACACTGCTGAGTCAAATAGCAAGTAATTTTTAAAGCAATCTAATGGGGTGGTGGTGGGGGCAGGAAGGAACCTCCAGGAAGAAAAAAAAGAACCATCAAGTAGAATTAATCTGCTATTGAAAACATTTCTTAAATGTACCCGTATTTATGATTTGATTGGTGAGGTTTTTCACGAGAGATGTATTAACAGATGTCTCACTGAGGAGAAGTCCCAATCCTGAGTAGCCAACTTCTCTGAGTCGAATACGTTGCTTACTTCGTTCATAAACATTTGTGCATTTCAACATTTGTTCCATCACCTGGTTACAAGTAATATATTCTTCTCAATATACAGAACTAAAAACAGTTTATCACTTACTATTCACTTATTACTATTAAAGAAAATATTACTTTACAATGTTTTTGGAGCATCATCTTATTCCTCAAATATTAAAAACAAACAAAAAAACTCAGTAGTAATAGGAAGGAATACTCCATATTACACATATTATTAAAAAATGTATCTAAGAATTGTCACTGAGATGCAAAATTAAATAATATGTTTAAAATTCTAGTTTACATATATTTCTTAAGGAAGAAAATAGAAATAATTTTAAAATTTACTTCTTTATGGATAAAGCTTAGAAACAAACCTTTTAGCTTCCAAGAGAACAAAGGTGTGTCTATAAGACACCTCTGAATCAATCTAGTAATCTATTAACGTAACAGTTATCAAAATAATTTCCAAGGATAATGAAACATTCTTGAAGAAATTCCATATGCTAAAATGAGGGGCTGAATTAGTGATCCCATACTTCCTGGGGTGAGATCAACTTTTTTTTTAATGAAATACTGAAACCCTACATGAAAAGGTAATCTTGACAAAATAATACCACGAGCAATCCCTGCAAAGCTGTTTTGGAGAAATAAAAATCTGCATAAGGGATCCCTTGCGTGGACAGATGCTTTAAAAAGCAGCATAGGTCACCACAATCAATACTCAAGAGAGACTATGTCAGGCCACTGTCACTGCACCGTTGTTTTCAAAAGTTTAGGAATACCAAACATAGGCAACCCAAACAGGACCCCATCGGTAGGCATTATAATACAATTCTAAGGATGTAAGGGGAAACAACTGTGTCACAAAACAATTAAGCATACTGAACAAGAGAATAAATCACAGGGGAAAAAAAATCAATGCACTTGGCTGTAGAAACATAACTGATTCTTCTACTTTTAGTTAACAAAAAGGTGAGGTGAGTTCAAAGTTCAAAGTGACTATTTTGGATAACTTAATAAAGTAGATTCTATTCTCTTGGAGAAGTTACTAATCTCTCTGGCCTCAGTTTCTACATTTGTAAAATGAAGATAATAATAATACCCACTTTATAAAGTTGCTGCAAGGATTAAATAAGCCAATATATGAAAAGTGCTTAGTACCTGACATAATGAGTACTACATAAGGGTTACCTATTGTCATTATTAACTGCTAAAGTGTTCTGAATTTCCAAATAGGCCCAGCTTAAGTCAAAAAGGAGATGAAAGGATTTTATTTTGAAGATGGTATGACAAAGTGGATTTTCCTCTCTGATGAATTATTAGATTGCAATGTAACTAGTTTTTTTTAATACACAAACAATTGAAACATAAAAAAAATCATAAAATGAATTGAACTTAAAATTAGAAGTAAATATGAAAATAATTTATATTTTCATATTTAGATATGTTGCAAGTACATTCATATACCTATAAATACCCCAAATTATTAAGATGCTTAAGAAATGTTTGTACCTTAAAAATGATTTCTCTTAGTCTGTCAGAGTACTTCTGATTTAAAAGCAAGGCATAAAGTATATCAGCATTTCCTGGTTCAAACAGCAGTAAGAAAAGCTGACCTCTAGTTGGACTGGTACGTAGGAGACTGAAGAGTACGTCCAAAATTCCAAAGAGCTTTTAAAAGTAAACAACACAAAACAAATAACCACGTTCATATACAGAAGTACAAATAAAGCCATAAGCAATAAAATACTCATTCAACTAAAAATCCTATATACCCTAAGAAGTCCCTGGGTGGCACAAACACTTAACACAGTCACTGCTAACTGAAAGGTTGGTGGTTGAAGTATACCAGAGGCACCTCAAAAGAAAGGCCTGGCTGGCAATCTACTTCCAAAAAAACAGCCACTGAAAACCCTATGGAGTACGGTTGTACTCTGACACACGGGGTTGCCAGGAGTTGGAATCGACTCACTCCACCTGGTTTGATCTGGTTTTGGATATACCCTAACATTCTAGCTTAACTGGACTGATAGCTTCTGAAACAACTGTCTTTTCCTTCCGACATACTTTTTGGCTTATTCCACTTCCTTTTGATATCCTCTCCCTACCCATATTCACCTGTTTAAACTATACCTATGCTGTTCTGTACATATAAAAAGCCATCTCTTCCATAACACATTTCCTGGTCTCCTTTACATGTAATACTCTCCTATGACAACCTCATGTTATTGCTGTTGTTGGTTAGCTGCCATCAAGTCAGCCCCCAACACTGGCAACCCCATGCACAAAAGGATCAGACTGTTGTGATCCAAAAAGTTTTCACTGGCAGATTTTTCAGAAGTAGATTGCCAGGCCTTTCTTTCCAGTCTGTCTGAGTCTGAAGTTCCGCTGAACCTTGTTCAGCATCACAGCAAAACATAAGCCTCCACTGTCAGGCAGATGGTGGCTGCTCCTGAGGTGGATTGGCCTGGAATCAAACCCAGGTCTCCCACATGGAAGGTGAGAACAGTACTTTGTATCTCTGTTACAGATATTATTAGACTCCTCTTTGATTCATAGTTATTCATAAACCTCTCTTACTGACCCCTGCTCCAATAGACTAAAAATAAGAATGATAATTCATTCATCATTGTTATCAGTTGCAACTTACAGAATTATTCTGTGTATATACTAAGTTCTCAACAAATAACCTTTTGACTAAATTGATCAAGAAAATATCACTGGCAATGAATCATAGCCATATGATAGACAATATAGCAATCATGAAACAAGATGCTATCTTAGTCATCTAGTGCTCCTATAACAGAAATACCACAAGTGGATTGCTTTAACAAAGAGAAATTTATTCTCTCACAGTGTAGTAGGCTACAAGTCCAAATTCAGGGCATCAGCTCCAGGGGAAGGCTTTCTCTGTCAGCTCTGGAAGAAGACCCTTGTCAGTCAATCTATCCCTGGACTAGGGGCTTCTCCGTGCAGGAACCCCAGGTCCAAAGGACGCACTCTGCTCCTGGCGCTGCTTTCTTGGTGGTATGAGGTTCCTCTCTCTCTCTGCTTGCTTCTCTCTTTTATATCTCAGAAGAGATTGGCTTAAGACACTATCTAATCTTGTAGATTCCATCAATATAACTGCCACTAATCCATCTTATTATACCATAGTGAAAGATTTACAACACATAGGGTAATCACCTCAGATTACAAAACAGTAGACAATCATACAAAACTGGGAATCACGACCTAGAAAAGTTGACAGATATTTTAGGGGGACACAACTCAATCCATGACAGATGGCTACTCATTCTTCTAAACAGTCCAAGCTTACATGAAAATAGCCTGTTAGCTCATTTATGTAATACCAGTTATGAAGTCATGTAACCACTGCGCACACAATGAATATTACATAATGGTAAAGTGGAAAAATATTTCAGTCAACATAAATTAAGGCTGCTCAACTTTGTGATGCTGAAAGTGGTAAGAGCACAGAAAAACACTAAATACTCTTGGGTACCAGCCCCAAGTTTATCAGCTGTGTGACTTTCTAAGTTAAGTCACATAATCTCTCTAAATATCTATATTTCCAAATGTGTAAATGGGAAGAATAATTCCTGCTCTGTATATTTTACAACAGTGGTTGTCAATTTTTACTGTGCATCAGAATGTCCTAGAGGGCTTGACTCAGTAGATGGGAAGATGGGGGACAAGTATCTGCGTGTCTATCAAATTCCCACGTAAAGCTGGTGAGAGACCATACACTGAGTACTACTTGTCTTAAAGGGTAGTTCTAAGAATTAAATAATGTATGTGGAAGTATTTAAAAAATAGGAATATATTTATAATTTAGTCTTTATGCAAAATTTTTATGAAACTAGATTATGTTAAAATTTACTTTAGAAATCTGCCTAGTAACTTTGACGATAGTAAAGACATACATGTGAGCTAGAAAAATAAGCTTCATAATTGCCAGACAAAGCCATGTACTGTATTTTCTAGCTAATTAAAATATTTAATTGTATTGCCATCTATTTTATTAAACTTCCAGTTAGTATACAAAATTTACTTCTTTAACTGCACAATATTATTATGTGACACTTGATGCATTTTATTTTTAAAATGTTTAATATATTAATTAACCAAATATAAGTTTATAAGGTGTTATAGAAATTTAAATGTTAAAAAGAAAAAACAGATTTATCTCAGGCATAATACCTGTTCTTCTTCATTGGCAGCAGCTATGTAACCCATAATACTTTGTATCTCTTCATGAGTTCCACCTTTGCTCAGAAAATATTTAATTAGTCCATACAAAGATGTCCTTATTGTTCGAATATCATCTAGAGACAGCTCATTATATTTACAACCACTCCTGAAAGTGAAAGCCAAAGAGCAAGAATTAAAAATTTTAATTTTTACATTTTTGTCTTTTTTGTATAGAAAAGACTTCACAGATAAGGAATAGATCCTTCTACGTAATAATTAGAATTCATGGTATCTTTGACTTCTTTTTCTTTTTAAGGAAAACTTTTTGAAGTTAAAAGTTTCAGAAGCAAACATTAAAAATAATAGAACAGCTTACATTTATAGAACACCCACTATGTGGCAGGTATAGTTCTAAGTGCTTTACACATACTAACTCATTTAATTTAATCCTGAAAACAACCCTAGGTCATAGTTTTATTATCTCCTTGTCACAGATGAGGAAATTCAAGCACAGAGAAATTGAGTAACATGCCGATGGCTACACAATTAACAAAACAAAAGATTCAAACCCAATCTATATGGTTCATTTTTCACCATCTTAACCTCCACACTATCCTGCCACTTGGAAGTTAAAACCCAAACTCGTTGCTGTTGAGTCGATTCTGACTCATAGTAATCTCCAAAGTAAAGGGATGTTAGAACTGCTGGAAAAGAAACAATCTAAAACTTCCAATCAAGTAGCTGACAGAAAACATTATCAAACTGAGAAGGAGCACAGACATCATACCCATAATAAATCCTAAGTGTATCTAGGAGAAACTGAACGCCATATTTCTTTCGAAAAACTCTCCTGCTGTCTTTGATGATGGTGGAAATATACTGTATATGACCTAAAACAGAAAGTTCACTCTTAAATGATATACCTAAAAAAGTCACATACATAGTAATAAATTTCTAAAACAACTATAAAATTTTATCTAACAGCCTGCTCTCACCAATTCGAAAAGGAAAATCTCCACGGTTCCAAATACGAAAGTCAAAGAGTAAATACTGATACATTTGTTGCAAGAGCTGCATATTTTTCTCTAATGACACCTGCTCAATTAATATTTGAACTGCCATCAGTACATTTACATCCATCAAGGTGCTTGGCACCTGAAATTCAAACAGAGAGGGTTCTGTAAAGTTCAGTTTAAATAATTGTCATTAAGGTATAGTTTCAAATGATTAATTTAGACCACCTACCAACTATAAAAACATTAAAATTTTGGTTAGAAAAACATAAACAACTTAAAAATTATTTTTTTCTGATATAAAGCAAAAACATATTTTTCCTATGGCATATTCCTAAAATAGAGTCTTAGATGTATCAAATATCCCACATGCCAAAGCTAAAAACAAAGTCCCATATATTACAAGTTCTATACCTAAAATAAGTCATTCTCGCACAAAGTGATTCAATAAAAGTTTTTAACACTTTCTTGTGAAACAAATAATATCCATTAATTTAACTTAAGCAATACTACTGTAATTTTTAAAAACACATTTAGTAGGAAGAAAAACCTCAAAACCTACTGTTAATTACAATCATCAGCTATATCCACATTATGTTAGACTGGCTCACCTTCTGAAGTAGGGCACCAAGAGTTGCAACTCCATGGGAGTGAATAAGATTGTCTTGGTTGATAGGATGTCTCTGAATAAAGTGCTTCACAATCAAAATAAATGTTGCAACTAAATTTCTCTCTAGTCTTGACTCTGGAATCGTGAACAAGTCAATAATTATAATTATTCTTATCATTTTTATATTACATTTCAATATCACAATGTATATTTTAACAAAGAAGGAATCTGGTTCAGCAGTTTGCCTCCAAGGCTTACTTACAGAACATAAACATCAGAGAGGGCAGCAACTGCATATTACACACACTCCTCACTTATCGACATGGTTAGGTTCCAAAGACCAGGTCATTATGCAAGAATTGGCGTTATGCAAAAATGGAGGATGACTACATCAGGTCACAAAATATTATGTGGGACACATAAATCCCTCTGGACCCAAGAGGCAGAAAATCTAGGTGGGTGCTGTATGTCCCATTGGTCATGAAAGAGTCATAGCCAGACATATGTCATCAATGCGTAAAATAGCTGGATAATAGATATTTTACTATTGTCATAAATGCAAAATGTCAGATGAGAGAGTCAATAATTGAGGAGTAGGTACATATATTTATACATTCATGTAAATATTTTCTCTACCATAAATTTAATAATGTTGTTATATTTCCATTAAAAATTAGGGATAGCCAAGAACAAAACCAACAACTGAATTTTTTTTTATCATAGTATTACAAAGTTTCTGAACTATATTAGTAAAATTAGGGATGGGCTGCTGCTACAGCCACAAATAGTTACGCTTCCTCCTAAGGGTGCTTTGGAGCCCAGGTGGTGTAGTGGTTAAGATCTCCGCTGCTAACCAAAAGGTCGGCAGTTTAAATCCACCAGCTGCTCCTTGGAAACCCTATGGAGCAGTTCTACTCTGTCTTATACGGCTGCTATGAGTTGGAATCAACTCAATAGCACCTAACAACAACAAGCGTGTTTTAATCAATTTTCCAATTAAGTCTCAAGTTTCTCAATGACTATTTTGTGTTAATTCCATCTTAATACCTGATGTCTTTGTGGAGGTCAATACCACCCAATCTCCTTCTACAGGTGTTATCAATTCAGAAACTGTGCTTTCATTCGTTCCTTCAGGGATCTGCCCTTCACTGAAGTGGCTGATTTGTTCCAATAAGGGAAAGAATACATTTAATCCACCTATGCAGTTTATGATGTCCTGAAAAAAAAATTACAATTTTTTAATCTTCATATATCTACACTGTATGTATAAGATTACAATTTGCTAAACCTTTAGGTAACATATAGTTGTACACTATAATGTACAGCAAAGACGTTAGAAGTATGGTATCTGGAATAACCTGCCTCTATCACTTATTATATGTGTGACCTTGGGCTAGTCAGCCTCTCAGGGTCTCAGTTTCATTGACTGTAAAACAGAACTAGATGTTATGTCACTGTATGGCTATAGAATAATTTATTTAACCAGTCCTTTATTAGGATATTTAAATTGGTGCCTATTTTTTCCTACTGTAAATAAAGCTGTAATAAATAGTTTTAAACAATAACTTGACTAAGATAAATTTCTAGCATTGGAATTGCTGGGTCAAGGGGAATTTTTTACCACATAGAAACTGCCCAATTGCCTTTCAAGTATTTCATTATTTCACATATCCACCAAAGTGCAGGAGTCCATTTTCCCACACTCTTCTCACACATTACTTTATCGGGTCGTTAAATTTCTATCATTTGACAACTTTTTAAATTATCTCATTTTTGTTTTAATTTGAATTTATGAGTAGTTGAGCATCTTTTCCAAATGTTTATCCATCATTTGTACTTCTTTTTCTGTAAACAACCTCTTCATATTGATTTTTAAGAGCTCTAAGAAAATTACATCCAAATTTAGCTTTCTGGATGGCAAATATTTTTTCCCAATTGCCATTTAACTTTTTTGTCTTTGATTTTGCTGCAGTATAAAAATACAATTGTCTTTCTCTGGTAATTCTGTTACTTCTTAACTTCCACATAAGTAAAAAATCTAAGTAGTTAATCCACATAGCTCTAACCCAAGGTACCAAAGACTCCTTTGGTTTTCTGGTATAGGACATGGCACAAATAATCAGCTATCTACATGCAAGTAATAGATAGAACTAGCCTTGTAAAACCACTCATAGAGTGACGGCAAAAATTAATATGAATTTTTAATCATATTATAAATCTTACTATGTTAACAGATAAGAATAAGTGTTCCTATCTCAAAGTTAAAGAGAAAAATGCTTTATACCATATGAATAACATGAGATTAATACTAACTGATGAATTCATTTTACAATGGCAGAATTATGTTAATGATTTCAGTCTCACTGGAACAATAAGCATGTCTGACTGGTTGTTAATTGACTAGAAGATAAGCTTTTTGCTGTTTACCAACAAGTTCCCTTGTAACTATCTTTCATATTTTTTTTAATTTCACTTAGGCTATAATTTCTATTAAAGATATCTTTTAAGGAAATACTATATTAAAGAAAGAGGATATCTCTGACTTTCATATTAGTCTAAGTAACCTTTACTAATTCAATCATTCAGTCAACAAATATTTACTGAACATCCATGTGCCAGACACTTGTGACGAATGCAGTGGCCCCTCCCTCAACATCCTTAAGGACTACTGGAGAGTTAAGCAAGCAAACAGTTACCAGTCATCATGATAAGTGAAATAATACAGTGCTATGGGTACGTATGACAAGAGCAGTTAACTCAGTCTTGGAAGGTAAGTAGAGGCTTCTAGATGGAAGCAAAGTTCTAGCTGAGACATAAAGATGAGACAGGTGAAGGAGGCAGACAAGGTAAGATACAGAAGAGGAAAGGTTACTCATCTATGTAAACTCAGAAAGATCTGAATTTGTTTAACGCTAATGGACAAGAGACAGTAGAAAGGGAAAAGGTTAGGAGCGGTAGGAATCTACCACATAGCTACAGGGATTAAACACCTTTAAAGTAGGGTAATGGACTAAAGCAGCATCTTTTTCTTATGAGAGAAGACAGATATGTCTTATATCATAGAAGAAGATAACTAACTTCAAGCAAATCAAACAGTCACTACTATAGTCATTCAATTACTGACAGCAAACATGTTAACTGGGACCTATTATTCAGGTCAGCAGCTCTGGTACAGCAATGCTTAAGCATTCAGCAGTTTGAATCCACCAGGAAACCCTATGAGGCACCTCTACTCTGTCGTATTGGGTCTCCATGAGTCGGAATAAACTCAACAGCATATAACAACAATTATCCAGATCAATCCGGTGGTGCTTAAAAGATAAACTCTTTAAAAGAATTAGTAAATTTACATAATATGATGTCTAGCAATTATCATTAATTTACCTTAATGTCCCAGTTCACTACTTTGTTTCCTGTTAACCTTCCATGGAAACAATTAGTAGATAAATCAAGACAGATTGGATTTTTGCAGGCCTAAGAATAAAGAAAAGTATGTCAAACAGGTAAGTGCAATTGGGATAAAATATAACTTTAACCACATATGAAACATTTCATCATAATTTTAAAAGGTATATGGTATAGTCAATGATAAAATGCCCACAATAGGAATTTCTGTATTACTGTTCTCTGTCTCTCAAAAGAAACAATCAGGAGATAGATTCTAAAGCACTTACTCATCAAAAGCAGGCCACTGGTGCTTGTCAGAATGAGCTATAGCTAGAACTTACCATTCGCCAATCACATTGTTTTAAGTTTTTTCTCTTTTAAACCAACATATGCAAACATGTTTTTTTCATTGATTTTTAATTCAGTGTTTCATTACTTCCCTAGGGACAATTTTATAATACACATAAAATGTGTGACTAAAATGTGAGATATGGAAATTACAGAACAGAAAGATACATCACAGTATGAAAATCCGATCATGTTACTGACAGATGTTTCTGCTTATATTCAGATTAAGAGCTCAGAAACTCTAGAAAGTCATTTGTTAACTCCCATTCATAAAGGCTTATAAAGCATGTAACATCACATTCAATCTGTGAATTTGCAGTAACGAAGCATCCTTGAATCTAATCACTATTCCAAAAGAAAATAAAGAAACCTACAAATTTTAGTACATCAATAGACATATGCAGTTCTTGCTTTCCTCTTAAAACAACTGAGAAAAATTGCTTTAATAAAACTAAAAAACCTCATTTAACTCAGTGAAATGTGTATCAGTCTCAGGGGAGAGAAATGTCTTTCTCCCATTAATATATTAGTTTGAACACTGTGTATCTATGGCCTCTCCTATCACAATAATCTCCTAATGAGATCACTGCCTCTTGTCTCTCATTCCTTCAATTCATCTTTCACACTGCGGCTTAAGACTTTTTACTAAAATGCTAACCTGATGATATCACTCTTGTGCTTAAAATCCTATTCACTGCCTACTATTTAGTCTAGCATAAGAGGTTTGCTATAATCCAGCCTATACTTGCCCTCTAATCTCATATCCTGATGTGCTCTCCTCCTGCTCAGTACCTGGTACCCAAATACATGTAGAATCCAGTTTTATAGTCTATGCCTTTGTATGTACTGCTCACCCTGCATTGTATATCCCTCCCACCTTGGCCTTTTAAGACATAAACCATCTTCTCTTTGATCTTCTAACCTACTGGAAGAGCCAATCACTCTCTCCTTATGCCCTCATTGTATTTTGTGCAAAATTTAAACACAAAAATACAGTACAGTGGTTAAGGATGAGTTAAACAGGCTGGGTTCTAACCCCAGCACTACCATACATTAAAGATGAGCCTCAGCAAGTAACTTATCTTTACTGAGCCTCAGAATACCAAAGCTTAGAAAAGATACAGCTAATAACACATACCCCTCAGGGTTTTTGTGAAGATTTAAAAGAAAAAAAAAAAAAAACAATACATGTAAAGCACTTAGCATTGTGCTTAATGTATTTTAGTATCCAACAAATGGCAGCTAAAAAGAAAAATACATGCTCATAAACTTATATTACACTTATTTGTTTACATGTTTATTTGATTTTAGACTATAAGCCTAAGGCCAGAGACTTTATTCATTTTTGTATCCTAACAGTTTATTCCAGTACCTGGCAAAGAGTAAACACTCAATAAATCTTATATATATGGATGACTAAACATCTCCTATAAATGAGTACAAAATGAAAAACTGTTAATAATTGGTGTTAACATGCTAATGTTAGTAATTGGTGAATTTAGGTGAAAAGTATATAGGATTTCACCTTACTATTCTTTTAACTTCTTTTTCGGTTCAAAATTTATCAAAATAAAAAGTTGGGGAAAAATACAACTGGCAAAAAAAATTTTATTATGTCAAATATCATAACAAATAAGTATTCAAAGAAATAAATTATGACCATGTACCACTCAGCTAAACTACAAAAAGATATTCTATAATGTATAATCTCATACAACAAAAGCATTTCCTGGGTCAATGTAACAGTGAGGATAATGAAAGCAACTGATATTGTTGTTTTATGTCATTCTTCCTTTTCATCCTCCCAATTCTACCTTTTATCTTAACTTCCAATCAACTTCACTTCTACTCCACTTAACTTCCCTTAGTCCTTGCTGACCTCAATTATTTATGCTAGACAGGCCCTTGAAAGAAAAAGGACTGGGCATAGTATGTATATAGGTAATTTCTCTTTTCTCCTTCTGAAGCAAACGTTTCATTTTCACTTGCTCATATCACATTAAAAAAAAAAAAAGTTGATCACAATACTGTTTCATCTCTCATCCAGAACACTAGGAGAATACAAGTTTCATCTACTGAAGTCAACTCATTAGTACAAATTCTTGCTACAACTACTCTCATTTAAACTATTGGAATGACATACAGAGTTACTTATGGTTGAATCTGAACCCTAATCGTGGAAGTGCATCTTAATTTTTTCTGCTTCCCATCTTCCTTTGAAAATTCATATTTTTTTAAAACAGCAATTCAAGCCCCTCCCTCTCAATTACTGACTGAAATGACTAAAGCAAGAGAAAAGGAAGTTTAGTTGACAGTACAGTTAGAACTAGATGGATAGTCCATGCATTTACTCTGACCTTTGGTGTGTAATGAAGAAGGACATTACCAGGCAGGTCAGCCATGTCAGACTCTTGACATTTCCAAGGGCTTAAACAGTTTGGACCTGAAAATTATTTGGGGACACACACACATCATTTAATAGATATGGCTTCCTAGGTTCTGTATAAGCAGAACAAAATGAAACTGAATTTTAATTCCTCATTAAAGTCAATTTTAAATTAAGCTGTTTCTAGTCACTCAACATAGTTAAAACACACTGGCTAAAATGTACTTTAATTTTCACATCACCTGAAATTCATCCAAAATCTAGAAACGTCTGGGGGTAGATCAATCTCTACTACAGAAAGTTACATGATATTAAAAAAAAAATCAGTATCAAATATAACAAAGTTTTTCTATTAATCTATAATACATAAACTAATTCAAATTTATAAGAGAAAATAACAAGACAATTAATAGAGTGAACAGACATTACAGAAATGGAATAGCAAATGAGTAGGAAAAAATCTTGCCTTTATTAAAATTCAAAGAAATACAAATTAAAGCAAGGTTCCATTTTACATCTTATAATGGAGGTATCAATATTGACCATTCCATCTTATTGTGGTTGTGGTGAAACTGGTTCACTCTTGTGTTACTGGTAGGCATTATAAACTAGTATATCCCTTCTGGAAACTGATTAGGCAACATTTAATGAGAGCCATAAAAAAATCCATAAGCTATGAATATCTATCCTGGGACTTTATCCTAATTAAATAAGTCAAAATAAGAAAAAACTACTGGCATATTTTCACCAAAAAAAAAAAAAAGATTGAGAAGGGAGAGGGTTGACATGTCATGGGGTTGTTAACCAATGTAATAAAAGAATATGTGTACTACTGTTTCATGAGAAACTATTTGTTCTGTAAACCTTCACCTGAAGTACAATAAAAAAAAGTAATTAATGATAAAAAAAAAAAAAAGAAAAAACTGCTGGCACAGTTTATCATATTTAACAATTGAAATTTATATCAACATTAAAAATTATATACAACCCATGTGAATCATGCACTATGAATCTAATGAAATATTATACAGCCATTATAAATAATAATTATAAAGACCATATAACACTTATTATTTATAAGAGTAGGATTATAAGTGGGAAAAATTATAAGAACAAAATCCAAGCCATAACAGCTATAATGACTGCCCTAAATGACTTAATATTAACTTGGAGTTTAGATTGCAGGTCTCCTTCAAATACTTCGGTTGGTTTCAAAGTAATCATGAGGGTTCCTTAATCTTATCTAAGGACTCCTAATTCTACAACTCTCATGAATTCTTCAGGTATATTAATATATCAATTATGAAAATGACAAATTTTGGGACAAGATTCATATGATTTTATATTCAGTCACATGATTTCTTATGCAGACAGGCTTATATTTTGTTACATCAATTTATTAAAATCTGTCAAAAGTATTGGAAGTATCACGGAAGGTATCTGAAATACTTCTTTTTACAGAAGAAAAACCCAGAAGTTTTTTTTTTTATTGTACTTTAGATGAAGGTTTACAGAACTAGCTTCTCATTAAACAGTCAGTACACATATTATGACATTGGTTAACAATCCCACAACATGTCAACACTCTCCCTTCTCGACCTTGAGAATAAAATAAATACACTATTTAGACCAAATATATGCTTCAGATGAAGAAGGCAAACCTTGCTCTAGGCAACAGGAAAAAAATCATATTTAGTTTTAATTAAACTGTATGACTATGCATGCTTACCTGCTAAATATAATGCCTTCACCTGAGAAGGCTGTAGTGCTTCATAGAAGATGATAACAGACCCTAGCTGACCTTCCAAAGATGTGGGACAGCCCCATTCACTGTCTTGGGTTCCAGCTGATATCAATTTGGTAATCAATTTTGATTTTTCACTTGTTCCTCCCCAGGAGGCTGATGACAGGATTCCACCAAATGAAGTCCGATGAGGCATAATGGGAGAAGAAAAGGGTGGATCTGGGATTTGGGATGGCGGAGGAGTCGTAGTTCTTTGCCCAGCAGAACCAATGCAACAGGAAGTAAAAGGCTAAAAATTAAGAAACCAAAAAAAAAAAAAAAAAGAAACTTACACAATTTTAATTAAATATCTACCATCATATTTAAAATGAAACTGTACTTGACGCAAATAAGTACACTCAAAATAAAACTGGAAGCAGTTTTATTTTTACTAGATCATGATGTGTAAATACGTATATACACATAAGAAATCATTATAGAAGTTACTTCTGGCCAGGGGATTTGAATATGTTACTTTTATGATTCACTCTTTTCATAAATTTTTAATTTTTTAATGAGTGTATATTAAAATTTTTTTAAAAACCCAACTTTGCTGTATTCTAAAATAGAGAAAACTGCTTTTTCCCCTTAAAATTTATAAACCGAGAATTATACACATCAGTATAAAAATGCTACTTAAAGGTTATCCTGAAATGGTCATCAAGATGAACGGCAACAAGAAATTATTAGAATACTAGAAGGATTTGAGAAATAATCAAATCCGTTCCCTTACCTTCAGGAAAAGGTCATCTTAAAATTACCCAAAAACTTCACAAAGAACTTTTACACTAATGTTTAACTACCTCTGAAGAGTCCCTGGGTGGTACAAATGGTCAGTGCTCAACTACTAACTGAAAGGTTGGCAATCTGAACTCACCCAGAGGTGCCTCGGAAGAAAGGCCAAGCAATCTGCTTCCGAAAAGTTCTGGCCTTGAAAATCCTATAGAGCAGTTCTACTCTGCTCACAATGAGTTGCCATGAGTTGGAACTGACAGGATGGCAACTAACAACAACAACACAGCCAAACTACGATGTGAAGGTTTTACGTTTATCATTTCAAATTCAGTGGAGCTGGAGAACAGTCTATCATAATGCTCTCTAAGTATTTTGTGTAATTCAAGAGCTTGAGTAAGTAATCCTTTGCTCTGATCTATTCAATTCTTCTGACTTTCCTATTATAGGTCTTTTTCCCAAGCCATTAACTGCATTTGTTATTCTTCCTTGAATTGTTTTTCTTTATTACATGTTGTCTGACTTCATCTAATGATGACAGGCTAACAGAATTAAATAATAACTGACTGTATTTCACTATATAGAGACTACTTTAAAATTTATGGGCACATATTTAGAATAAAGAGAACAAACCTTTTACATTAAACTGAAAAATTTTAAGAATTCTTAATCAATTGGGCCTCTAATATAGGTTAGATGTGCTTACTTCATTCAAGGCCGGAAATCTGAGAGGGGCAGAGACCTTCTGTTGTCCATTGTCGTAGATATAGACAAGGCTCTGACCAAAGGGCCTTTTTCCAGGCATGTGAACAATGGTTACGTTGTGCTGGTGAAGTAAAACATATATTTAAAAAGCTAAAATTACATTATATCTTTGGAACTGGCAAATGTTTTCAGAGTATTACTCTATACATAGTTTGTGTGAACAATAAAACATTAAGATTTAGCTGATTAAATACTGATTAAAATAATGATCTCAAACCAAGTAAGGATTTTTTTTCTGTAGTACTGTAAAAGCACTTCAGCCTATTTCTGAAAATTTGCATACAACTATAACAGTAAATTTTGTAAATTTTCCAAGTCAATAAGTATTCTTTAGGACCAATTTTTCTAATGAGAGGCACTTTATATTTTAAGAAAAGGAAAAGAAGTGCATTTTTTTTAACAACCTTTGTTATCATTATAAATTGGAATTCAAAACTGAACTTGAAGGAAAACATAAAGAAATTATAACATTTCATTTTCATTCCTTTAGCAGAAAAATGATTAGTGCTGAATCCATGATGTGATGGTAAACGGAATTAACCTCATTATATGTAACTTTAATATGAATAGAACTTTAAAGTAAAAATTAATCAAGTCTCAAAAAGCAGATGACAACTCCTGAGGTACATGCACCAAACTGTGTGTCTGTTAAACGAAAGAATCAAGAAGTTAAAAGTGATGTCCTAAAGCCTTACCCAAAGGGAATCACAGAAACTGTGGTCAGGAAGCATTACTGTTGCATATTCTCTTTTGGTGCACACTGCCACAACTAACATACCAGAATGGGTAATGAAAGCTTCAAAACCTATGCCACTTCCTGTAAAAAAACTAACAAAAGTATATATTATCAGGACTTTTGAAGTCAGTTGTTCAGTTTCACTGTCACTGAAGCACACAAAACCATCAAGCCGGCCTATCTTTATCAATAATCTTGTGGTTTAAATTCTTCTGCCACACAGTAGTCCAATCTTGTTTCAGAGAGGATTTTTAAATGCTTTTTGGGCGTAAGAGTTTAATAAATTATAAAAGGTAGCTTTATGAGTGGAGTTCTATTATCAAATCATCGTAAAACTACAAATTTTCAAATCTTCAGAATTCTCCAAGTAAGACTAAGTTTAGATAAACATTCTTATTAGAAAGCATGAATAAAGGTATTAAGTATCATAAAGCATATTAAAAATGATTATTGAAGTTTTGAGAGACAACCACTCAGTTTCAAGTTTATTATTCCTTTTTTCTCCTTTTTCACACCACTTTTAAGAAGGAATATTGTTTCTAAACTGGCCTTGGAACTTAACTAGCAACATATCTGAGATATGCAGTTATTATTATGAAAGAAAGAAAGCATTTATAATTAAACTGCATGCAGCCAAATAATGAAGAGGCTTTAGATACATTATTGTACATTTAAAGACTAAATGTTTAAAAAAGCTTATTTCTGTTCAAGAAGCAGAGCACATATTGTTATGACAGTATTCATTTATATTCCATAACTTGTACCATTACCTGTACAACTGTTTTCTTTTTCCTCCTTTGTTAGCAATGCCAGCAGTCAACTGATTCTGATCTAAGCAAAACCAAGCATTGAAGGAAAAGGCAGACCCCGGCCATTTCTGTATGGAGGGCACAGAAATTCCTGCCATACTGTGTGACAAATTAAAATACTGCAGCGCACTCTCAAGACTTTGTTTCCGGGCCATTGTCAGGATTGCTCGAGTCACAGGAATGGTATATGGGTGAATATACTCAAATTCATCCACTCTCAACAATCTTAGTAGCCGACGGACTTCTTCTGAGCTCACTGACTGACTCCCCAAGGAACCATGGAGTGCAATCAAGTTCTCAGCACAAGCTCGATGGAGGGAAGAATGGAAATCAAGGGCTTCAATGATTCGAATTCCCATGTTTGCATTGACACAAGTAGTTCGACTCTGCCTATTAATACAACAAATTCTTTTCAGCCAATCAGAGATGAAGATTTGCAGGTCATGGGATTCTAGCTCTGGAAGCCACTGGATAAGAAGCAAAAGAGGCTGGACATTACTAATGCCCAAAATCCCAACTGAAGTGTGGTCACCCTCTACTGCCTAGAAAGCAACATAAAAGACAAAAGGTAAGTTACAACTGCGATGTGGAGATATTTGATAATGGAGATTCTTTTAATAAAGCTAAAAAAACTCACCATATTCATAAGTTCTTTAAGAAGTTCCAGTGGTGGCTGGCCCAGTGATTTTAATACCTCAAACATATGTGTATAACCAATTCTTTCTTTAAAAACTTCCTAGGGGAGAGGAAAACAATATATCAAATCACATTTTCAAAGACTGAATTTGTTGGAATATTAATTATATTGACTTAATATTAAATCAAGATTATGAGTTCAATATTTCTGTTTTCTTAAATCATACCTTCATCTTAAAATATATTCCATATGTCTTCTGGAATACAAAGTTAAAATAATCTTACAAAATGCAAAGATAAATGATTATTAATAATAATTGTATAATATCAAAGTATTATATTCTTGCAAACTAGGGCACATGATGATTACCTTTTCACTTGATTTGTAATTAATAGAGTATTAAGTGAGGGCAAAACAATAAAGTATTAGATGAAGTCTAAATAAAAGGCTTGGGGGTAACAAAAGTCAGGCAGCAGTCCTAAACAACTAGATTAAAAGTACCGGCAATTTTGAGTGGTAGTTAGAAAAAAAATGGGTACAAAGATTTTTTTCTCTGCTCTTTGTACCTTAAAATGTCTGAATTACATTCTATGAAGCCAGCATAACGCTGATACCAAAACCAGGCAAAGACGTCACGAAAAAAGAAAATTACAGACCAATATCTCTCATGAATATAAATGCAAAAATTCTGAACAAAATTCTAGCCAATAGAATTCAGCATCATATCAAAAAAATAATACACCACGA